GGCACTTGTGGTGGCCTAATAACATAACGTTCCCCTTTCTTTTCTCTTAGTAGGACTTCTGTTTTCATACCATGTCTTATAAACAACTGAGGGAAGGATGACCAGATCTATGATCGCACATCAAAGCTGATATTAAAGAATTTAAATATGCAATTTGTATAAGGAGACGACCTTCCCATGGCAGACGATAGTCCTCTATCTTCGTGCCCACTGCCTATCGCTCTCTCTTTGTTAGATTGACAGGAAAATGAGGCACTAGTAGTACAGAGTCGAACGAAATGCTAGAGATAGTTTGAACAGTTTCTTATCCTGTACCAGGTAAGAAGAGGACTGACCATCATTTGTGATTATAAGGACAGGAGATTAATAGTTACGCAATTGATAGGAATGAAGATAGGTCACTCGTCATGTGCTTTGAAGTTCCCGAATCACAAATTCATGGTCACGACTTGGAGAAGAAATGAGCAGAAACATCAGCTGTGTTGGTTAGTGTGGCGGAGACAGTAATCAAGTTTCTGACCTTTGCGCAAGCTTGTCAAACTCATCCTTGGATAGGGTACCTTCAAGAGATGGAAGGCATAGCAGCGTCAATTGGAGTAACACTATTTAGCTGACCCAGCTGCATTGGACCACCGCTTAACCTTGGCAGGCTTTCCTAAAAGCCTCTCAGAAGTCATAAAAGCAGTCATCAAATCACCGTATATGCCAATGCAACAACAAAAGCACAAATGGCTGTAGCATGAGTGAAGGGATAAAGCACCAGCTAGGAGAGGGTCCCTCAATGGTTCAACCATATCCAACTGTACCACCTTGTGGGTTCCACATCTTCATCATCTTCCACCTATTAATGTATAGCTAAATGCTCTTTTTTTCTTTTTCTTTTTCTCTTCTTCTCTCTCTCTCTCTCTCTTCTTCATAATTATTTAATTATTATTATTATTATTTTCAGACTCTGTAAATAGGCAAACACTGATAATGGTTGAATATTGTGTTCAAAATTTTTAGAAAATAAACGCAAGTAATTTTTTTTGGGACAAATTTGGTGAGGTATGTTAGGTTGGCAACTTTCGTAATAAAAAATATAAAGTAATGCTTTTAAAACGTCCCTCTCAGTAAAAGAATCACGAACTCTCTTATTTTTTTAACTTAGATATATTAAATAATGACTTTTTTCATTAGAAGGACCTCTTAGGATTATTACTCAAAAATTTATAATTTGAAAAAAATGTCTTGTCACCATTATCAAATTTATGGTTACTTACCAAGAAGTTGCTTCATACAAGCCAAGTCTAAAAGCTTGAGACGAATTCATAGAAATTTCTGCAATGTGGCTATATTATTTTAAAAGCACTTTAAAACAGAGTTCAATACTTTAGAGAAAGTAAAGTTTGGATTGGCTTAACTTGTCATTTATCCCCCAAAAAAAAAAAGATTTAGATTGGCTTAATGGTAACTATTTTGATTTTATGAGAACTTGTGTTTAGAATGATTTGTGGTGAGTTTAGAGTTTTTAAAGTAATGAGTTTGAAATCGAAGGATCGAAAGGGGCGAGTCTCACCACTCGGCTGTTTTGAGTTTGGACCACAAATAACTATCAAGAAAGTTTTGAAATTCCCTTAATAGTGACATAAGAACTGAATTTTCAAGCATTTGATAGCTGGTTCTCAACTGTCTACAAAGTTCAGAACATGGTTTAAAATTTTGAAAATCGGCTCCTAATATGTCCAAAAGTCCAAAACAGATTTTAGTTTTTTAAAATCGATTTCTAGCCCCTAGCAATCTAAGAGCATCTCCAATGGGTTCTCTAGAGTTACGCTTTCCGAATTTGTCACATCAGCATTTTTCAATAATTACGTTGCATTTTCCGTAACCACGTCAGAATTTAAAAAATAAAACAAAACAGAGACCGGCCCGCATGGCAGGCCCGCGGCTTGCTAAGAGGGTCGCGGATTTCAGCGACCCATTGGATGGGACCCATTTTTTGGATATGTTATTGGAACAGTCTAATAGCGAAAAACGCCCAGAATCTATATTCTGAACCGTTGAAGTTGCTCTAAAAAGTCCAGAAATGGCTCTCAGTTTTTAAAAATTGGCTTTCAGAATCACAAAATATTGAGAATTTGTTGTTAATTTTTCAAAACATGTTATAAAAACGAAGTGATATTAGCATAAAACCATCAAAATGGTCATATTCCATAATCCTGATTGTCTCAAACCTAACGGGGGGTCAAGCATCTATAGTTTTGATTTTTTTTTTTTTTTTTTTTTGCTATTGTGGTCCTATATCATGTTTAACTTCTGAAATATTATACAGCTTGCTCTTTGATGGAACACACATCAAAGTTCTTGCAAACTATGTTTTAAAATCATTAAAAATGGCACTAATGAGACTTCATGCCTTAAAATCGTCTTTGGACCACCTAGGCTAGACTTTGGTGATACATTCATCATCAGCATTTTCAATGTCCTAGGCTAGACTTTGCTGCAGTCATACATTCATCACCATTTTCATCGTCCGACTTTAATGAAATTGCAAGTTATTATATAAAACTCCATATAGAAGGTTTTATGAAGGTTTGAACTTTCTGACTGTAGGAAAATGGGAGTTATAAAAAAGTCTGTGGTGTGGATATGACCAGGCGCTGCCTATGTGGACCAAAATATAGACCATGTCAAATAAAAAGCCAACAAAAAGGCCATGTAAGCAAAATCCAAAGATTCAGCACTAATATTTGAAAAAACAATTGTATGATAAGATCGAATACAGAAAATCTCGAAAGAGCATTTCATTGAAGTTCTCAAACCTTGAAGAACATTATTTGAGTCTTGAAATTTTGATCGAGCAACATTCCTCAAGTCCAAAATCTCGGGCAACATTCTTGGAGGTCAAAAATATTGAGCTGCAATTCTCGAGTCCCAAAAATCTGAAGCGACATTCCCGAAGTCTTGAAACCTACAATCATAAACCTCGAGTGACACTTTTCGAATTCCAAATCCCGAGTGACATGTACTCTTCGAATTCCAATTCCCGAGCGGCAATTCTCGAGTTTCAAACTTTGACCGACGTCCCTCAAAGTCCAAAACCTTGAGCGAGTGATGTTTCTCGAGTCTTGGATCTCAATGAACATCTTCAATTCCGTGTTTTAAGTAACATATCTCATGTATGCATATCAAAGTTTCGAAGTTCATCGTGTTGATCTCGCAAAGATACTGTTGTCAAGTGGATGTAGGTGGACCCTTCAGCTATTTGGAATACCTAGAAGAAGATTTTGGCTAGAGATTGAGAAGCTAGAACATGACTCGTTTTGTGGGCCCGACCAAGGAATGGTGCAACACGTGTTAGACAGATATCTTTGACATCATAATTAATGACACCACCGTTGAACTGCGTTAGCACATTGACGCAGTGCAGTTTGGTAGACTTGACATCTTAAGTGGCAAAAGTGAAAATAGATCCATAATAACCTATTGGTTTAGATGCTAATTATTATTTAACTGAACCTTGAACCATTGAATAAATGCGGACAAGTTAGCAGAATTGAAGGTAGAACTCGGGTAATTGAAAAACCAAAGCGATCTTAGCCTAGTTATTCTCTGCTCATTGAGACAAACATTTTTTACCTTTACCATTATTTTCTCTGGTTAATCTATATCTTCTTATTCGGACATTACCTAGTGACTTAGTTAAGCGTTCATTTTCCTGAACGGGTGTGTTTGAGTCTCTCCTCTCCTTAGTTTGGCAAAAAAAAAAAAAACAAACAAAAAATTCTACTTCTTCTCCATCTATAAGAATCTCTTTTTATACCCTTCATTTGTTACCTATTTTATTATTAGCAGGAACCCACTAGGCACTAGCCACAAAGTCCATTAGGGAATGTGAACGAATGTTTAGCATTCAGCTTTAAAAAACACTACACTGAACTAACTTCAATAATAATAAAAGCTTCTGCTTGTTCTTGGGACATTAGTAATGATGTGAAAAACAAAAATCCACAAGGACATATTAGAAGAGTACCAGCTAAGCAAAATACACTACACAAGGGAACTGTTGGACATGAAAATGTGCGAACCAGTGCAATTTCTGATTCTTCTTTTTTTTTTTTAATGGTAATTTTGTTTTTCCTGAGTGTTGTTTTGCTTTCCTCTCAATTTTTTTTACGGGCTGGTTGCGTCTATAAATTTTTTTTGTAATGTTGTCGGTCCAGCAGTTGGAAGTAAATTTTTTTTTTTTCAAAAGTTAATGTATACGACTTGCAACGGTGGCCCATGAGATTACAAGAAATCAGCCCAACAGAGCCCCGACCCAAAAGGGTAAAAAAATTCCTGCAATTCATATTAGGGATTGATCATATTTTCATAATTACATTGCCATTAGTCGGCAAGATATCGTTTAAGTATCTTTTTCTTTAAATTTCAAAATTATTTTTAATGTATTTTGTGCCAAATTACCCTAATTATCATCGAAATCTTAGTTCTTGCTTGGTTTGTAATTGTGAGAATAATTTTTTGAGCAGAAAACTAAAAATAGAAAACTATACAAAAAAACGCGCTTTGTTCAATTTTCTGAAAATTCAGTTATAAAAATGTATGTTTTTAGATTATTGTCTTTTATTATTTTTTTAAAAATTATTTTCTATTCTCTACAACAATTTAGTGTAAAATTCATTTTTCAAAAGAAAATTGGCGGCAATGAATGAATTAAAAAAAAAAAGAAAAAAAATTTGACCATAATTGTTTGGTGGATTGTTTGTTTAAAAATATGATCAATTTTTACTTATTTTTTTAAAAAGGTCAATGGTCAAAATCGATACAAAATCATGAAATTTAACTTGAAAAAAAAATATCTTTTGATGTGTGCGGTGCCACGTCATTAGAAAAATGTGAAACACCATAATTTCGGTGTACATTAATGTACCTTAGATTCCTCCAACACTTTTTCCTCGAGTCATAGGCAGAGATTGAGCCACATGTGCATGTGTTTGGAGGACTTGTCACCAGTATTCCGTGCCATGCTCTCCCCCCGCTATAACGTAATGTTGGTCTGCCTAAAGAAGCGAAGCGAGACTTCTCGAACACTGCGTGGGCTCTGGTTTGAAGAAGAAGAAGAAGAAGAAGATCATGGCTCGTTTAATCCATTCATCGCGACGATCTATCTCCGGGATCTAGTAAGTTTGCCCTAATTTCTTCTGTAATACAACCTCGCACTATTATGTTCTTTGGTAAAGGAGAAAAAGGAAGGAAAAGAACGGAAAATTTGGGAAATTAAATCTCTGAATTATGCTTTCAGTTTCCTTGCATGCATTTTCCATGATTACTTTAAGAAGATTGTTGTGAAGTGATTTCCTACGAAGTCCCTACCTCAGTTGGCTTAGAAATTGGTGGACTTTTGTGATTGCATTGTTATTTTCATGTAATATTACTGCATTTTGGTTGATCGAATTTAGTAGCATTGGAAATATTTTTTATTTTCTTTCTGTGTCGGGCAATTTAGGGTTTTGATTTGCCGTTTGTTTGTGAAGAAAACTGCGGAAAGGAAAATAAAATGGGAATGTAATCTACCGTTTTATATACTCTTTCATCTGATAAAATGAAATCATTGACTAAAACTATGGCAATACTGGTAATTGGCTTATTTGTGTAGTGGATTTTTGTATACTTGAACCCTAAGTAAAGGATATTTCCTTTTCTTGGCTGAGAAAGTAAAGAAAATCCTATACTTATATGGGTTATTTTATTTTCCGCTGTTTTTCACAACCATTTGGTGGTATTTGATGTTGGGTGAAAATCAACACTGGAAATGGCATTGAGAAACTATAAGTACAGTTTGTGGTGAAACTCCACCAGAACTTTTGTTGTGTTGCTACTTGTTTCCAGAATTGTCAACACTTATATAGTTATTGCCTTTCTCTTTTGGTGATACTCCTCCAAAAAGTGATGGATAAACCTGCCTCATTTATCTTACGTTAATTTTGGTATTACAATGATGCTACTTTATCATCATGGTGAAAGCTCATCTGCTTTATTGATTTTTTTTTCATTGACACGAGTGGAACTTTAGATTCTAAGCATGGCAGCAATAAAATTTGAGTGGATTAAGATAACTTGAATTTGTGGCCTAATGAACCAATGATATACTCTAGAATTAATATATTGAACAGGAGGGCTTCGGTCCAGTCCTATCATGTATTGGTATTGAAGGACCAACTTTTGCAGCGCATGCTGTTGCAAAAGGACAAACAAGCTGTGAATTGGGAAAGAGAAGATTGAACACTCTTGACATTTCTACATTAAATAAATGAAATCTGTGGCCGCTTTTAGAACGAACTTGACTCTTGAGTATGACTGTGGATTTAACCAGTTACATCTCTCTCTCTCTCTCTCTCTCCCTCTCTCTCTCACAGAGCCAATTTATATTTTTTATTGGGAAAGAGAAGATTGAACACTCTTGACATTTCGACATTAAATATATCAAATCCGTGGCTGCTTTTAGAACTAACATGAGTATGACTTTGGATTTAACCAGTTACATCTTCTCTGTCTCTCTTCCAGTATTTATTTTTTATTGATAAGCAACAAGATTCAAACTCGTATCGAGACCCTTACTTTAAGATACAATGCCAAAACTTCACCATTGTGCTATGCAATTTTATCAAGATTTCTTATTTTGTTGGGTTTCTTCATAGCCAAATTCACCGACTCATGTTTGTCTATTCACATGTTTAAGGTAGGTTGCCTATTTTAATGAGGGCATTCTTGGAAATCCAAATATTGGCTACAAATATATTATTGAAGAGAGATTATCTCAAAGGCCATGTCTAGAGAGACATAAAGAGAGTTATCTCAAGAAAAAGTGTTAGAGAATGGGTTCATCTCTTGGTCACTTGGGGTTATTCCAACCATTTGTGTGGACCAAATATCCTATTGTGTAATAGGTGCGGTTTTCTTTTAATATTCTCTGTAACCTCCCTACTGGTAGTGAAGTTTCTCTTGTCGTTTTTTTTTCTCCCTACTGTCTCTCTTCCAATATTTATTTTTTATTGATAAGCAACAAGATTCAAACTTGTATCGAGACCCTTCCTTTAAGATACAATGCCAAAACTCCACCATTGTGCTATGCAACTTTATCAAGATTTCTTATTTTGTTGGGTTTCTTCATAGCCAAATTCACTGACTCATGTTTGTCTATTCGCATGGTTAAGGTAGGTTGCCTATTTTAATGAGGGCATTCTTGGAAACCCAAATATTGGCTACAATACATTATTGAAGAGAGATTATCTCAAAGAATATGTCTAGAGAGACATAAAGAGAGTTATCTCAAGAGAAAGTGTTAGAGAATGGGTTCATCTCTTTTTCACTCGGGTTATTCCAACCATTTGTGTGGACCAAATATCCTATTGTGTAATAGGTGCGGTTTTCTTTTAATATTCTCTGTAATACCTCCCTACTGGTAGTGAAGTTTCTCTTGTCATATGTTTTTGCGCGCGCGTGTGTACGTAGGCCTGGTGCGTAATTAAGGGAATCTCGTGTATTGCCTTTGGTGGTTCCTTCTTTTTGTCCCTTCCCTTCTGTTTTTCCACATTTCTCTTTGTTTCTTTTGTATGAAATCCTTGGGTTTTTCTGGTTCCTAGAATAGGGAAACTAATTTTAGTTTGGAGACTTGATTTTGGCAACAGGATTCACACCTATTGGTAATAGAGTTTGACGATTAGTTACATGGTGTTAGACCAACATTCAATGCAAGCTGTTTTTTATTGTTCTATCATGCATTTCGGAGTCCATGTAGAAATTCCTTGTGAAAAGAGGGAGTCAACAATGACAGAATCCCCAACTTGCTATAGTTCATCTAGCTCATTCTTTTTATCCAAAAAAGTCTACTGGTTAGAAGACACAGGAGTAATTCCTTTCGTCACTGGGCATTATAATCAAAATAAGGACATGTTAAGATCCCATTTTCATTTGTGGGCCATTTAATTTCAATTTTTTTTTGTATTAATCATGCTAGCTTGATAAATATTGGATGGTTTGGACTTCTAACTTGATAATTATATGACTCTTAGGAAATGTAGGACTTGAGTTGTGTTATGTGGACTGCTGAGAAGCTAATAAATATAGGACAGCTGGTCCAGTGGAGAATTTAACTTGACACCTCTTTTCTTATCAAATTTTCTTTCCATATTTTCTTCTATTATTTACAAGATGCCATCTGTATATATAAATTTGCATGGGATGATAGCTGTTAAGTATTTCAATAGAGGAACCACTAGTAAAATTTATCAAAGATTTACCTTCAGCCATGGAGCCATTAACAAATAATCACAACCGTTAAAAATTAATTTAGTAGTTAGTTCACAGACACAGGTGGCAATAACAGTTGCCTCAATTATAAGAGTTGTGGCAAACAAGCAGCCTGCAGGCGGCATAGGCAACAATAACATTGACAGCAATTACAGATATGCAGTAAGCGTTAAACCCACAGGCACTAGGGGTGACCTAATAACATGACGTTCCCCTTTCTTTTCTCTTAGTAGGACTTCTGTTTTCATACCATGGCTTATAAACAACTGAGGGAAGGATGACCAGATCTATGATGGCACATGAAAGCTGATATTAAATGGCACATCAAAGCTGATATTAAAGAATTTAAATATGCAGTTTGTATGAGGAGACGATCTTCCCATGGCAGATGATAGTCCTCTATCTTCGTGCCCACTTCTTATCACTCTCTCTTTGTTAGATTGACAGGAAAATGAGGCACTAGTAGTACAGAGTTGAACGAAATGCTAGAGATAGTTTGAACAGTTTCTTATCCTGTACCAGGTAAGAAGAGGACTTAGCATCATTTATGATTATAAGGACAGGAGATTAATAGTTATGCAATTGATAGGAATGAAGATAGGTCACTCGTCATGTGCTTTGAAGTTCCCGAATCACAAATTCATGGTCACGACTTGGAGAAGAAATGAGCAGAGACATCAGCTATGTTGGTTAGAGTGGCGGAGACAGTAATCAAGTTTCTGACCTTTGCACAAGCTTGTCAAACTCATCCTTGGATAGGGTACCTTCAAGAGATGGAAGGCATAGAGCGTCAATTGGAGTAACACTATTTAGCTGACCCAGTTGCAGTGGACCACTGCTTAACCATGGCAGGCTTTCCTAACTTTTGAAACCTTTCATCCAAATGCTGATAGTTCTCTCAGAAGTCATAAAAGCAGTCATCAAATCACCGTCCGCTTCTTGCTCCTCTGCCTCCTCTTCCACCGCCATGGCCTCAACCATAGCCACTACTTGGAGAAGAAATGAGCAGAGACATCAGCTATGTTGGTTAGAGTGGCGGAGACAGTAATCAAGTTTCTGACCTTTGCACAAGCTTGTCAAACTCATCCTTGGATAGGGTACCTTCAAGAGATGGAAGGCATAGAGCGTCAATTGGAGTAACACTATTTAGCTGACCCAGCTGCAGTGGACCACTGCTTAACCATGGCAGGCTTTCCTAACTTTTGGAACCTTTCATCCAAATGCTGATAGTTCTCTCAGAAGTCATAAAAGCAGTCATCAAATCACCGTCCGCTTCTTGCTCCTCTGCCTCCTCTTCCACCGCCATGGCCTCAACCATAGCCACTACTTGATACACTTTTAGGAGAAGAGAAACCACAATCAGTTGATATCAAGGTTGATCAATCAGCTCTAGTAGTGGTACTACCAGATACATTCTTTGTGCGAGACAACTGAGAAAACTCATAGATAATAATGGGATCTAAGATCTTGCCTGCATAGTGCTGTGGGTAGTAGCATATTATGAATTCAGGCCCGCAAAAAATGCGACAACTTTGAAGGCTTAATGCTGCTTCTTCCAGGCCTCTACCTTTGGTTGATTTAGGTTATAAATATTTTACTCCTACCAGCACCCTTTTGACATAATTGTAATGCTCTTTCCAGCTCTTGTTATTCTGTTCTGCAATAAATAATTCGTAATGTGGCTGATATATATATATATATATATATATATAAAATTTTTTTGATAAGGAAAGTTGTATTATATAGCTGATAAAGTTGTATTATATAGCTCTAACGGGGAACACGGCCTGCGCAAACTACACCAGGGCCAAATAGGGCCCTAGACTCTCAATATATCCAAACAATCAACAATAACATGGCTGATAAATATGATTAATATTCTTGTAAGATGACTAAGGATCAGAAAGTGATTGATGGCTTCAGGCAATGGAGAGGAAATGACTGCACTTAGTTCTAACTAGGCTTGGGTACTTACGATTCTTCCAGGTCCTGGTTCTATACTATCCCCCTGACGGTACTGCAAAACTCCTGAAGTCTCATGCAGTTGTAAAAGGATGTAAGAGAACATCCGTTATTACTTACAAAAAAAAAAAAAACTTATGTTATTGATTTATTTGAGGCATTTTCTCCACAAGCTTTCATGTTCAGGGGGAGAAAGGAAATATATGTCTATTAAAGAAGGCATTTATGGGTTGAAGCAGTCTTTTGGGTCATGATTTGACTAATTTCAGTGATGTGGTTCTTACTTCTTGAATATGGATTCTACAGAACACATACAGATCAATAAGTGTTTGCACATTGATTGCATATGTAGATGATATTATTATTGCAGGTAGTAATGAAAATTGCCTATTTGAAGAAACATTTGTATCAGAAGGTTCCAGGGCATTTCCGGTATGCCCTGGTTATTGAAGTGGTGAGATCTTGCATATGTTCTTGCCTTTTTTCAGAGTGTATGTTCTAGACTTGTTGCACAAAGGTGGATTAAATTGGACACAAATAACCGACTCACATGGACTTGAGTGCTAAATTTAGTCCGGAACAAGGAGAGAAGGATGAGTATCCTAGTAGTTAGCATCAACTTGTTAGGAGATCGATATATTTAATTATTACTGTATGTGTAATCTCTTCTGCTTTTGGAGTAATAAATTAGTTTTTGTAGGATCCTCTCATAAACTAATAAGAAACTCATTTGAATTTTTCTGCGCATAAAAAATAATCCTGGTCAGGGGTATTGTTTCGGAAGACATCTAATTCTTATATGATTTCTCATGTGGTTGGTCCTGTAGATTCAGATCAGGCATGTTTAGCCTTTGATAGGAGGTCTAGAAATGGTTATTGGCATAGTGCACCTTTATACCTGTGATGAGTTCCCTTCATCACTTCATATTGTCTTATGCTTGACAATCGGGCTGCTATTTACATAGTATCCAATCTGGTTTTTCATGAGAGGACCAAACATATTGAAATCCACTTTATCTTAGAGAAATTTGCTTGTGCTGATGTTGAAATGAAGTATACTCTGTTTGCATCTCAGTTGGCTGATGTGGAAAGATAAGGGGAAAAACCACAAGTTATGGTCCAGTCCGATCGAAATTCATCACACGAAAGAAACATTATACTAGGTTAATTGTTCAATAACCCCAGAACTCCTAGTTACATCACGACACAGACTGGTTCACCAAACTCACACTCGTCTTCAGGCACATAATCTACTCTCCGGCAACAGATAATGCTCCAGGCCAGCCGCTTCTTCAATAGCATTTCGATCTCCAGACCATTCGTCTAGCCAATCTCCAATTTAGTTCAGCAATTGTATGATGTCAACACACATATGTCACTCACTTATTCTAATGCAGAATTATGAATGAAAAATAAAATATGTAGATGCATTCTAATCTCACAATAATGCTCTACATATTTTCCTTCTACGTGTCTTTGGTTCTCTGAGATAGTAAGGTATTTATAAACTGTTAACTACCATCTACTCTAAAGGCTTAAGCTGTTAGAAAGGGTGTAACTTAAATATATAAATCCTTCAACACACCCCCTAACGTGTGGCCTTCTTTTTGGTCCAACACATGTTTTTTAATTTTTAATTAGGGTGACGGTGAGGTTTGAACTTGAGACCTTTGGCTCTGATGCCATGTTAACTACCATCTACTCTAAAAGCTTAAGCTGCTAGAGTCGGTGTAACTTAAATATATTAATCCTTCAACATAAACAAAGAAGAGTAGTAGAGAGAATAGGGTTTTAGTGTTAAATCTCAAAAAGAAAACTACTATTCCGAAAAGTCTGCCAGGTAAAACCAATTCTCAGGAACTCATAAAACAGAAAACTGTTTTCAGAGAACTATTGAGAAGTCGAGAACTATACAAATAGTTCTCTGAAACCAGCCTTTTTTCAACTCAGTTTTCAGAAACGGTCAACCAAGCAGATTTTTGTACAATTTTCTAATTTTCAGTTCTCAGAAAACTGAACCAAGCACACCATCACCCAAAATTTTATGTTAATCGATTGACATGCTTCCAGTAGCTTTCGATTGACCAGTCAATCAACCGAAGTGCCTTGGCAACAATACTTAGAAATTTTCATAAAAAAATGTTTTCAAAATTTTTTTCAAGAAGTGTTGAGAGAGTGGGCTCTGTCTCTTGTTCTTTGGGGTCATTTGATTCATTCCAACTCTTGGCGTAAATGAAATAACCTGTGGTATAGATGATGGTGGGTTTTGTAGAGTTGGGGATTGGAGTTTCTTTGTATTATCTCCTTGTAATATCTGCCAATTGATGGTTGAATTTCTCTTGCCAGGGATGTAGCATATTGATGAACCACATAATTCTCGTGTATCACTTGTGGTTGGTTTTTTATTTATTTCACCTTCATTTCCTTGGTTTATTATGCACAAGGTCCTTGGGTTTTCCACATTTACCTGAAAAAGAGATTAATTTTACTTTGGAAACTTGTTTTCTGGTGACCAGATTTACAACATATCTGTTGGAGTTGGACAGATGATGTATATAAATTTGATCCTTATGCTTGTGTAGCTAATATTCGGGTTTAATAAAATAATTGCATGCACTTCCTTTTCTTTCCACACTTTTTGGATGCACAAAGTTATTGCATGGTTGGTCAAAGGTTAGGTCTAGATCTATGCCTATCCATCCTATTCCAGAATTGGAAAAGACTGACATTGGTAGAGGCCTTTTTACTGTTCGAAGTTATGCTCATCTGTATGCTTCAGTTATTTGTTGCCCATTGCTTTAAAAGTGATTCTAATCGCTTCTTTTTTTTTTTTTTTTTCAAAATTAAATTATCCTGAAGCAGTAGAATGGCTGTATCCAAAAAGGGGAGATTTTTGTCAACTGATTCCAAGAACGTTGAGGAAGCTGAGACAGTAAATGTTCCTCCGCCTCCAACTGAGAAGGTACTTATTGGTGTTAGTTACAAGTATACATTCAGATTTAAAAATGCTGGATATTCATCTTCGCTTTTGTGTATTGTTGCACATGTATTTTTTATCCAGTTACTTGTGCTGGGTGGAAATGGATTCGTTGGCTCACATATTTGCAAAGAAGCCCTTGGTCGTGGCATATCTGTTGCTAGTCTTAGCAGGTATTATCTTCCTCAATAGTTATGGATCAAATTTATTCGCGTCGCTACACTTGATGGTTCTTATATCAGTAGACCACCAGCTGTCTTCCTTGAGTGGTATCTTGTGCGACCCTTGAGGGAAACGTATGGGGGTTTTATCCCCATTGATATACAGGAGATCATATTTGTAGAATAATTGTTATCCAAGTCAACTTGATGCATCTATTGATGCTCAAGATTTTTTAAATTTATTTTTGGCTATTTTAGTCTCACATGTTTTATGTATGCACTGAAATAATCTAGAAGTGTAAACTAAACTGATCATTTGTCATTATATGTTTTTAAGGACGAATTAATAATGATTGTCGCCTTTTGATTTGGCACAACTGTGGAACATACATCACAAATTCTTAATTCTGTAGCTTTTGCAAATAAATCCAACTGTAATTTATCACTCACTGTTTAGTTGCACAAGGGCACTTTAACAGTGAGCGAGACTGTCAACAAAATTGAATGGTTTCACTGGCCCACTATCTCTTGATTTATTATATATCACCACAAGATTATATCACAAGAAGTGTGTGACATGTGTAATCCTTTTCATTGGGAAATTCTATCATAACTTATAAGGTTTATCTGTTTATAGAAGTGTGCTGGATTTTGCTTTTATGATTTTACTTTTCACTGACATGTGTGCAGTTGTTCCAGCAACATTTATATGTTTTATGGCGGTTTAATTTTCACTATTCTGGATGCATTGTGATAGTTAAAGATCGTATGAAGCCACATGATGCCAGATAGAGTTGCATGCCGACCAGATAGATTTATGGATGTGTGAATCTAAGATATTTGATCTGTTACAAACTAACAAGAATAATTTATTCTAGGTTGGTTGTCATTAATGTTATGAAAATGCTATCATCTGAAATTCGGTAGATAGCAGTTGTGTACCTCACTGCTCTAAATCAAGGTACTGCCAATAATTTTTTAAAATAGTTATCAGTAATAACGGAAATATATAAAGAGATCCTTTAACATACTTGTCTTGTAAATCAACACTAAGGTACATCAGTTTCAACAAAGAAAAAGAAAATGATAATTTGTAGTCACTAATGCCATGTGCACATGCACGGACCATTCCCCCCCTGATATATATATATATATATATATATATATTTACTATTAACACTCGTGATTTTTTCTTTTTTTGAACTATATATGTATGAAATTTTCATATCGCTCCCCTTGAAATTACAAAAAAAATTCTACTATTGCCCCCCCTTCACACAAATTCCTGGGTCCGTCCCTGCATGTGTAAGAGACTCACTGGATGTCTCATGGATTTGGATCTTTGAAATTCGTGGCTTATTTTATGGTTATATTTTATTAATAATCAATAATAGTTCTGTATAGATGCCTTTTGTGGAAAAGTGGTTGCATTCCAGCCTGGTTATTATTATCTACTTTAGGTTGCCTGTAGCTCCCTCTGTGGATTGATAGTGTAACTGATCTTATTGTGTTCCTGAACCGCTTGCTTCTTTATTGCAGATCTGGTAGGTCATCTATACAAGAATCATGGGCTGATAGTTTGATCTGGAATCAAGGTTTGTATCTTATATTGTATGTTTCTTGGTTACCTCGTCCTAGTACGATGTGTTGCTTTTAACCATCTTTTTCTTTTCCTTTTCTGTTGGCAGGAAACCTCCTTTCAGATGATTCATGGAAGGAAGCATTAAATGGAGTGACTGCTGTTGTACGTAGTGTTTTAATAATGTTTCTGTAGCTAATTTGTGAATGAGAGAAGAATCCGAACTTGTGCTTACCATATAGACATGGGGAAAATGATAGAGAGAATCCAAACTCTCTTCTTTTCTTGCTTTCTTCCTTACATATCTATCAGTACATGGATCTTCTCGTTTTCTGGAAGCTATTTACATACAGATTGATACCTATGTTATAGGTTGGGACTTGTGAAAATGAGTGGGAGTGAAGGAGATGTAACTTCATGAAGGAGTAGGTGGGTGTGTGAGGGTCTTATTGGCACCTCACATGGCCTTAGAATTCTGGTCACGGTTGGTAGAGTTGAAAGAACACCAATTGCGAGAGGAGACTATGATAAATCATGGAGGGCTTGGGTATCAACCACCATGTAAGCTGGAATGAAGAGTTGTGTTCATTGTTCAGTATTGGATGTAAGCTGGGTTGTGCTCAACCTAGAAGCAGGACACACCTAAAAGGCCAAAGAATCCGCGTCACACTGACACGCGTCATACACGGCCCAACACATGTTGGACATGCTAAAAGCCTAAAAGACATGTCCAAACTTTTTTTCATTTTCAGACACGCCGCTAACACGGCACAGACATGCCTTGGACACGTGTCCGACACGAATGTCGCATTGTAAGAAAGTGCAAATATGATAACTTCTTTGAACATTTTTAATAATATGGTGGTCATGACATAAAATATTTAAAATTTTTGGTTTAAATAATAAATATTTTTGTTGGTGTGGAGTAGATTCAATTGTGTAGTTCTTTAAACAATGAAAAACTAATTATTTTTGCAGCTCATTAATTATTATGATTTGTGAAGTTTTTGTCATTGTTAGGTTGATGAACAATGATAGAACTCTTAAAACACAGGATCATATAAAAAGCTATATTAATAAATTGCCATATCCCTTCTGTGTCCTTATCTTAATTTTTTATGGTTTGCGGTGTCCTTGTCGTGTCATATTCATTTCCCGTATTCGTATTCGTGCTTCTTATTGCCCAACCATATATCTCTTATGTTTCTTGTTTATTTGTTTTTTCCTTCTAATTATTTACCGTGATTGCAAGATCCTTGAGGTTATGTCTGAATATGATGCCTTCGACCAACAATAGGTACCAAAGCTGATGTTTTGTCTTGGGGAGTTAGCTCTAATGCGAAGGGTTCAGAAATCACAAGAAGTTTCCACAGTTGTTGTGGCAATTTCAGTTGCATATGGAGTCGATCAATCAACTTATTTGGTCATGATGGTTAAAAAATCGTGATGGGTGACATGACAAGATTTGATTTGAGGTGGAGATTTGACCGATTAACCAGTGTGCAGTGGGGACTATCAAAGTTGGTCAGCAGGATGGTGATGTCTTGCTGCAATCTTTAGAGCAAGGAGGGACTGAATCCTTCGGTGAAAGGTCCTAAATAAGATTGGGTCATAGTGACGATCCTTTGGTGGAAGTCTCTAAATGGTGGTTTGTTTTATGTGCAAGACTAAAGTTACAATGAATTGTTGAAATCGATGGCCATAGGTGAAGCAATGATTGGCTTGACGGAAGCCAAGGTGGAAAATTGTTTTATTATGTCTCAAATTTCTATTCTAGTTTGGTTTCTATTTCGGAGTTGTATTTTGTTTAGGAAATTTCTTTTTAGGAAACTCTTGGGTTGTAAATAGATAAATGAGACTGAAAGTGATAAGAGATGTAATCTCATGATGGGGTAGGTTGGTGTGAGATGTAATAGAGATGTGAATAGATAAATGAGACTGAAAGTGATACAGATGTAATCTCATGATGGGGTAGGTTGGTGTGTGAGAGTCTTGTTAGTTCTGCCTCAAATGGCACATAGAGATGTGGTTCATGGTTAGTAGACTGGAGAGAACACCAATGACGATAACAAAGTTTTGTGGAGTAGTACCCCATAGAGGCTTCGGATATTAGCCACCATACCCTGGAATGAGGAGTCAAGGACTTGTTTACACGGGCCAGTGTTGGGTAATCTCTGTCATTGTAATATCTCTTCAAAAGAAAAGTTGGAATCTTTTTCATCCGTGGATGTAGGAGGGGTTATGCTGAACCATGTATATCTTTTGTTTCTTGCGTGCTTATTTTTTCTTTATACAAGGATCTCTGTGCACACGTGTTTCCTCTATCTCGACGACTTGTATCATAGCTTTTGTTGCCTTTTGGCACCCAACATGCGGATTATTTCCTAATGAGTGCATTTATGAACGGGTGCATGTGCTGCATGTCACCGGTATTTTGAAAGATGTATTGAAATGGAAATTGTAAGGCTCAAGGTTAATGGCATAACCTGTCATTTTCTATATTGTATGTTTATGACTGTATAACAGCATTGCAAAATGGTTATTGAGAGATGATAAATAAAATGACAGTTGTCATGAAGGGTTGGATGGGTTCTTTACCTATCTCCTTTGCAGTGGGAAGTGGCAGTAATGTTAGATTTTTGCATTACTTGTGAAGGAGAGAGGGGGGGAAGGGGGTGCATTGAAGTATAAATTTCCCATTTCCCATGATCTTTTGGAGCTTGATAGCTAAAAATGCTTCAATAGCAGGTTTATCTTTTTCTTGGACAATGATGCAGTATGATATCCAGTGATTAGAGGAGCTCTCTAGGATTGGGAGTATTAAAGCATTTTCTCTGATTTAGATGATTAAGGAGATATGGTTTTGTGGGGGAGTGATGTGCTCATTTGGAAGTTCTCTCAAGGCAGTGTGTTCACTGTTTATTTGTTATATATGATGGGAAGAGGAAGACCTGATATTGTGGAAGAGCTTTTGGCGTAGAAATGCCCTCCTTCCCCCTACAGGTGGCTTCTATTTTTTGCTTGGACAGCGATTTGATGTTATTTCGACTGTTCATGATCTGAAGAGAAGTATCTTGGAAACATGTTTGTTAACAATACTAATAGAGGGATTGAGATGGATTCGTGGCAAGACTAGAAAAAAGAAAATATTAATGAATTTAATTTGCCAAACAGAGAGGTGGTTCTGGGTGGGGATGAGATGATGAGATGAGCTGAAGACATTTCAGATTGCTTGATTTTGTGTGGAAAGAGTTATCATATATATATATATATATATGTATGTATATATATATAATTCTTTTATACATTGGTATCTATGATGGGCAGGGAAAAAAATTGTCCTTATTCCCCTGGTGTTTCCTTTGTATGTTCTACTGCTTTCATATTTTTCTTACCCTTTTTAGACTATATTATTTATGTAGAGAAGCATATATTTCCCATCTCAGTTTTTCTTTGCATATGACGTAGATATTAGTTTCATCTTGTAACCGGGTGAAGTTGTGCAGATCTCTTGTGTTGGTGGTTTTGGCTCCAACTCATATATGTATAAGATCAATGGAACAGCAAATATCAATGCAATTAGAGCTGCTGCTGAACAAGGTATTAAAATTCTCAAATGTGTTTATAGACATTACTTCTACCTCCTCCCATTTCCTACACTGATTTAATTGTTCATAACCTGAAGTTGATGGACAACCGAGGGGTGTCACAGTCAGAGGAAGTGCTCAAAACCGCATTTGAGGATCAATTTTTTATTTTATTTTTCGTTCTTTGTTTCTTTGTTTTTTGATAGGTGAAATGCATTCGATAGGCTGTGAGAAAATTCTAGTTTTCTTGAGTTTGGCTTGCTCAATATTTATAAATTGTTCCAAACACGAAACATTCAATTAGGTTCTGTCTGAATGCTCAACATAGAATACGAAGAGTGATATTCTAGATTTCTTCACCTCTCATCTCCAAGACCTTTTTAAGACACGAGTATTCAAAATTCTCTTAAAGAAAATTCTTTATGTTGTGTTTGGAGCACCGAATCGGTGCCTTGGATTTGGAATTGGAGAAAATTCAACTTTAAACTGATTTTCCTTCAATTCCAAATCCAAGGTGCTGATTCGGTTCTCCCAAACATAGTGTTACTTCCAAATAGTAGGAAGCTGAATCTTGAAAGTAGTTGATCAAGCTTGCGACTTTTGGAGAGGTTGTTCATTGTTTTTTTACCATGCTTTTAACATGCGATGAATGTAATTGGCAAGTAAAAGGTCAAGCAAGTAAGTAGATGATATAGTAAGATGATACTGATCACCAAAATCGAAAAGAAACACTTCCCCTTCCTCCATATGTGTTTGACTGGTAGATTGTTCTTAAGCTTCTTGCCAAGGATTCATTTGAAATATTAATAAAAAGGTCCTTTAAACATCTGCTTAAAACACTAGTGTTTTTCTTATCAAAATATGCATAGAAAATCACTTTGTGAAAGATAACTATTTTTTATTTCTCAACCAATTTTGTTGTATTAGTCAGTAGACAATACCATGCGATTAATGTTCTATGAATTTGCAAATTTTTCCGTTTAAATTTTAATATTACCAAAAAAAAAAAAAAAAAAAAAAAAAAAGCAAATTCATCCATTTATAAGCAGAAACCTCCATATAGTTTCAGAAATGCCACAAGAATGTGAAAAAGTGGAGAACTTTTTTTTTTTTTTTTTGATAAGTGAAAAAGTGGAGAACTTTGAAAGACGAAGTTATACCTTTTAAGATGTGAGTAAACTTTTTGTAATTTGAGTTATCTTTTGTCCGTACTTTATTGCACAACAGAAAGGGACAAGGAGAAACTTTTTGAACCAATGTCAAAATAAGTTCCAACCATCTCCCCCTCCGCCAACCAAAATTGAAGGGACCATGTCATAAATAATTAATTGATGCGTTAAATGTGGTCTAAGGACTTATAATGTTCTACTTTGTTATGTATGGAAGAATTGTAAATTATTAAATACAAGCAACATAAATTCCAATCTACCATACTATAAATTATTGTGTAAAAGCATCATGGCCATCCAATTAGGCAGGTTGTGATGGCGCATTTTCTTTGTCATCATTGATGTTCATCTTATGTCTGTTCTTCCTTCTTTATTCTTTTTGTCATTTTATTTTCTTTTCCATTTTTCCCCCCTGAAAGGACTGAACAGTACCATCTTCACTTGTTGGTGAAAATGGTGAAAAGTTGATAGTTTGATTCTTATTACAGTGCAGTACTAAGTAGTTATTATGCTCGGCGATTTGCTCTTGTTTCTTGTCTGTAGGTGTGAAACGATTTGTTTATATCTCCGCTGCTGATTTTGGCATCGTAAATTACTTGCTGCAAGGATATTACGAGGGAAAGGTATCTTCTGCACTGTTTCGATTGTCATTCAGTTACTGGAAATTGATTGTTGATTTTAATAATTTCAAGAAACCGTGTAACTTGAATCTTTTCAGTTTGTTTTTCGCATCAAGAAGACAAAAGTCACTACAATGGAGACGGATGGTAAATGTAGGGAATGGGGATGTAGCCATTTCCAAGAATATATTAAAACATTGAAACACTTGCAAAATAATCCACGCAAGTTGAATCATTTCAGTTTGGTTTTAGTATCATGGAGACAAAAGTCGGGCAATGGAGCCGCTGGCAAATGTAGGCGTGTAGTTATCCTCAGGACTGATATTAAAATATTGAAACACTTGCAAAAACAATGGATATTGTGGAACTCTTTTTCTGCTATGCTGTCTTCTGGGGGCTTTTTGCAGTCTTATGGGACACGTGAAGTCTTGAAGGAAAGGAGATGTGATGATCATGATTGATCCACATGCACACGCCACATGACGCCCACGTCTACTTTAATCTTAGGGGCATGGATAGATAGGGAACAATTTTGGTTTTTGTTTTATTTATTTGTTTTAGGGATAGAAATAAGATTATTTGGTATTTATCTTTGTTAGATTACCAATTGTCCCAAAGCTTAAGCTGTCATAGAATGTACTCAACAATGTATATCAAACTCAACACAGTTCCTCACATGTAAGTCTGTCTTGCATGGGACAAGGAAAATAGATCAAATCTAGATTAGAACACTAACCCAGAGAACAAAATGGAGAGATGGAGACTTGCTAGACCTCCAAGAACCAAAATTCAATACCATGTTAGACTACTACATGCCCCCAAAACTTAAGCTATTAGAGAATAGAGCCAACGATGTCTATCAAGGTCTAACAATCTTTCATTACTGTTTATCTTTATTCAATAGTTATATTTTGCTTAGCGTTTGCTTAGGGTTGCTTATATAAGGCCTTCTACATACTGGTGGATCATTACTCTTCTGAGAAATAAAACCATTCAGGATTATGTTGTTTGTTTATGAAGGTGCTGTTATTTAAAAAAAAAAAATCAAATTGCAGAATTGCTATCTATATCTTCTCACCTTCTCTTCATTCTTTCCCACCCTGTACCAATTGGTAAGGATCTGGATGAGACCCACTTGTATGTATTGTACATGCACATGATCTAGTCACCTACATTAGGCATAAGACAATGATAGATAGGGAAAGATTTTATTAGTTTTTCCTTTCTTTTATTTTAGCAATATGAATTAGATTATTAGTTATTTATATTTTAGTACTGTTTATATTTTATTAATGATATCTCTTACTCAGGGTTTGCCTAGGTCTCCCCATTTAAGGCCTTCTGTGTAATGGAAGAAGGATAGTTGTTATTTGAAAATTAACCAAATTACAGAATTTGTTCTCTCTTCTTTTCATTTATTCTTATTTTTATTTTTCTTGTTTTGCCTACTGTATTAATTGTCGATTAGAGTGTTTTTATATTAGAACTGGTATCAGAAAGCTCTGCATCAATTGCATTAGAGAAAATACCAATCATCTCTCTCATATCTCATATATCTGTTTGCTACTCTCTTTCCCTTCTCTCTCTTCTTTCCTAGTCCTTTGTTCTCTCACTTTTCCATCTTTTTCTCTCACCTCCTTTTGCCACTAATCTCTTGGCTCATTAAAGCTCTCATATTTCATCTCTCTCTCTCTCTCTATACAATTATATATATATATTTATATGTGTATATATATTTTCCTCTGTAGTTAAACATTCAAAATCGCAAACAAAACCGAACATTCAAACCTATTTGTTGCACATTAAAGTATTGACAGTCAAAACCCCTAATGGACCCTATGTGTGATTAACGCTACCGGAGTAATGCATTTAGAAACAAAAATAATCTATCCCTTCTGTAATCGACATTGCAGGAGCTCCACTTCGCTTTACTGAAGCTAAAACCTCATCGTCTCTCTCATCGCTCTGTGAATCCATCACAACTCGTCATATCTTGGGGCTGGCTGTCATTGTCATTATCATTGATCAACCGGTGCCCTCACCAACCATAACTCACAGCCAACCACCATCGTCATCTTCATTGATAGAAACCTTGCCATCGTTGATTTGTAAGCATCAATGCAGTTGCTTACCACTGTTGAACCCACTTTTGTCGAGCCTGACACGGCCACTATCACAATTGTCATCTTGCTGTCTTCATGCCATCACTGTAAGATCACCATTGCCAACCCTTGTCGTCACCGTCGACAATTGTCAACATAGGCATTTTACTCGTTCTGAAACAGTATTGTAAAAGAAAAAGAAAAGGAACGTAATAAGAGATCTTTATTTACAAATGCATAATACACTTGAATTATTGGCTTTACTTGTTGGGTGCATGTTCAATTAAATGTACTGGAAACGTGCCCAAGGATAATTTGTCCGACAGTAGTACTCCACTCATCTCTCACACTATACAGGCAATAGGACCCATCCTTTCCCCTCTCCCCCCATTGCACACGAGGAAGAATTTTAAAACATATGGGACTAACTCCCTTTCTTTAGGCATATCAGTGATGATTTGCAGGATGTCTCCCCTTCTTTCGTTCTTGTATGTATAATTTTTTTATCCTCTCTTTTACCTGGGACATTTGTATCAAAATGTTTTGAAAGTACAAAGAGAAAATAGGTTCAATACCTCACTCTTTTATACACAGTGAGAGTAGTATAGATAATATCATTTGAATTTTAATATATAATTTGAGTGCAACAGTATGCTAAGTTGAAGGAGTAAATTATTAATTTAGGAGTTTAATCTCCATGATTAAATAGATTTTGTTGACTACCTAAATGAACGAGCTCTACTGTCGTAGTTTATATTACTACCACCCTGACCAGAAGCTGTAAAGGTTATAAGATTAATATTTGGTAATATAGGACCTGTCTTAGGAGATAAATGAATTTAGCTAGGACAAATAAGATGCCTAGTTCTCAATTAAATCAGAATTTATGATACTCCCTCTGTCCCACTTTAATTGTCGCCTTCGGTGAGTCACGGTTCCCGAAGGCGACAATTAAAGTGGGATGGAGGTAGTAGTAATATTGGGATTTACAACTTGTTTGACCAGGTATTTAATGGAAGGATTACTTGGTAGGGATTTTGTAGACCTGTATAGATACTTTGTAGAATATTCTGAAGGACTTACTTTACACAGAGAGAATTGTGGTATGGATGTGAGTGAGTTATAAAAAAGTCGTGCGTTAACTAATTCATGCCGAGCAGGATGCCTTTGTTTAAAAGAGAGTGTCTATTGTGCTTTATTCATTTATGACGACACATAAGGTTTCTGAACGTTGAAGCGACGTGATCTTAGTAAATTAGGATGCGGTATTATACCATGAAATGTTTAATGACTATTTTTCTGTTTTCAGCATATGTTCAGTCATAAAAATATGTATATCTAGTGAGATGATTGGAGTTGCACCACTTGGAGATAAAATGAGAGAAAACGACTAAGATGGTTTGGACATGTGCAAAGAATACCATTCAGTGCACCAGTTAGGAAGAGTGACACGGTCCATATTGAGGGTAATGCTTGGGGAAGGGGAAGACCAATTTAACGTGGGTAGAGTTAGCAAGGATATGTGGTTTGACTAAGGTTATGGCCTTAGATAGATCGAAATTGAAAAATAGGATGGGAAAAAAACTTTATTTGTTGTTGTTTACATAACTAATGCAAATACATGCTTTGAAGCCGGCTTTGATCAATTTTTCTTTGACTTGTACATTACAACGTTGAAAAAGACGACGGTAGTGTACTTGTGATGCTTGATAAATGTATACTCCCTTCATCCTTTCTTGTGATGAATTTATAATTGTATCTTGTATGATCCAGAGAGCTGCTGAAACAGAGTTATTGACCAGATTTCCATATGGAGGTGAGCTTTCTTGCTGTCATTCTACTTGGATCTTAATTTGTAAATGTTGTATCCCACTTTATTCAAATGTTGAGTTGCTAAAAGTGGCTAGGAGATGACTCACCTGCCTGAACTTAAGGTGCAAATTAATTGTTGGATTAGAAGTTTATGTTGTGTTTTATTACTTATCAGGGAAAAAAAAAAAAAAAATGTTTATGTTGTGTTTTATTCCACTTTGCTGCTATAGTTGGATATTCTCCGTCTCTCTCTTGGCAACTTATTTGCTAAAACCATGAAATCATTGTCTCCTTTTCATTTGAACCGTTGAAAGGGAGTATGTTTTCTTGTAGAAGAAACTTTGTAAGGTTCTTTTTAGAATGTGACATTCTTATACATGACAAGGGAAGGTGAATTTTTTTCAGGTGTGATTTTGAGGCCTGGGTTTATACATGGAACTCGCCGTGTTGGGAGCATGAAGATACCTTTAGGTGTAATTGGGTCTCCGTTAGAGATGGTAATTTTATTGTGCTTCCAATTATACATTTCTCATGCTTATGAATGTATTTATTCTCGTATGCTCTCTCTCTCTCACTCTAAGTAATAGCTCTGGTGGTGAAGGAACAGACCATGCATTTTGATGGCTCTTGTTCCTACTTCATATCATTCAAGGAGGGAGTTTTTCCACCAAAACTGACACAAAGAATTATTATTTTCCTTACTTAATAACATTTGTTTAAATCATTGCAGATTCTCCAGCATGCAAAACCACTGAACCAGGTTCCTCTTGTTGGCCCCTTGTTTACTCCTCCTGTCAGCGTTACCTCGGTGGCAAAAGTTGCTGTCAGAGCAGCAACTGATCCTGTTTTTCCTCCTGGCATTATAGACGCCTTTGGAATACGACGATATAGCCAGCAGAAATCGGTATAGATTTGCTGCGTTTTGTTCATTGATACCAAAATGAAAGTAAAGGCTGTTAAATTCTTTTTCATGTTGGATCAACTCTAGAATTTTCTTAGTTACAAATTGTACTTCTGTCGTGTTCCTAGTTTTGATAAAATAAAAATATGCATGGCGCATCCCATTGATTTGTTGAACATACCTCTTATATTTTTGCTGGGAAGTATAGCTTATCTGCTCTAGGAATAGGAGGTAATTGGAATGGTTTTGTGTAATCGATACAGTAAGATCTATTTGTGGCAGTCATGGGGTGGTTGTGGATCTGGTCATAACTGACACTGGTTGAATTTCAATGGTTAGAGATGCAACTTGAAAATGAAACGACCCAGGTTTGATAACAAACGAGAAAATCCCCATATTCAATACTGACCCAAAATCCCTGTATGATTTTGGAAACTCTTATTTATAATACGGAGTAATAAATTTGCCTAGTCTTGGATATTAGTTGTTCATATGTACGATTTCTAGCAAATGCAGTCTTATTAGGCATGTTTCAGTGGTAATGGTGTCATATGTGCTAATGCTATTGTATACGTTATCTTTGTGGTCCTATTTTATTTTATGTTATTATTTCATCTTCATTAAACTAACGGTGGAAGGAGATTCGTTCTTTCGACTGTGATTATTGATCATTTTACGCTAGGTGTTTCTTGCAAATTAGACGTAGAATCGAAAGATTTGATGCCCACTGATGAGGGGTTGCTGGCTTGATCAGGTTTAGCTAAATTTGGTTCAGGCTTCACTATATAATGTGTTGTATCTTAATAAACAATTAGCATGTTCAGGCATGACCACAGAGTTGAACATGATTGATTAGGCTCATATCCAGGTGAACCATCAGACATGAATTGGAGTGGTATTAACAAGCATGAGTTGTGGGCTAAAGGTAGTGTTTGATTTGTAGGTTATGATTGAATATTTGGGCTTCTCTCACCTCAGGTTTCATTTTTGTGCTTATTTTTTGGTGATACACATCAAACATGTATTACATACACGGGCGCAGGACACGGGTTTTAAAAATAATAATAATAATATAATATGTATAAATAATATTTTGTTGCCATTTTATATTTATAATCATGAATAAAATTACTAATTTGATGTTTAGAACTAGATGCTTGTTATTTATGTTTTTTTCAATTAACTTGATATATATTTTAAATTGCATTGAATTAACTTTTTTAAAACCTACTATGTCGTGTCGTATCTTGTAAGTGTTTAAAACTTATCTTTACCATTTGACGTTTATACCAAATTATAGAGTAGGAAGATGTATTAATTTATAGATGCTTTGGACTAGTAGAAGTCCAAATAAACAAAATGAGACAATTATGGGGGCTTTTAGGGGAGCCACACCTTAAGGTGAGGCTAGTAGAAAATTGGTCAATTTTGCTCACGTTCCATGTGTGGCTCTATTTTTTTTCTTTTCTTTTTTTATATATTATTTTACGACAAGGACAGATATTTATGTTCCATTTAAGATGAAGTTTTTGTTTCCGTGGACTTATTTTTGAAAGATTAAATGGCATTCGACTCATTCAACAACTAGCAGTGAGGATATTATTGCTCCGAGAAAATGAAAAAGAAAAAGAAAAAAAAGTCTGGGATTTTATAGTCACATTCTCGAAACAAATGTGATAAAAAAGTGTCCGTTCAGACAACTGGTCAAAGAAAATTAATAATGTCAATGATATAGACAAATAGCATTATAACGTGAACAGAAAATACACTTGCCGGGGAATCTTTAGAGTTATGTTAATTTTTAATAAGTCGTAAAAAATCGAAATAACTAGTTAGTAAGCATCGAATGGCTAAATGAAACTGATCTAACCAGCAAAAAGCATTGACGCTGCAGAGACCAATGCATCAATTGCGGTACGATAGAGTTATAATTTATTAGATTTAAAAAAAACAGGAGGTTTTTTATGGATTAGCAATGAAATGCGCCAAGTAAGATGTTGCATGACAAGTGCAGAGAATTTATATCGAGATACTGGTATTGTGTATGGAGTACTAGTAGCTTGTAGATGTGCGTATATTTTTGTATAGAATTATAGAAGAGCAATCTCAACAGATTGAGATACATCCTAGCAGTTCATTGAATGAAGGGATGTATATAAATAGGTAGGATATCTCATTTGTAGCCAAGAAGTTCTATAGAGTGATTGAGATGCATCTTATCGGTCTATTAAAGAAAAAATGTCCATAAATAGGCAGGAGGTCCCATTTATAACTACCAAGTTGTGATTCAGAGAAATCTTATGAGAGGTTGAAGCTAATTTTGGCAATTTCCATAAAATAATATTAATTGTGAAATATTTGATATCTCTTCTGTTTTCACCAATAATTTTCATTTAACCATGATTAAGGGCTTATATAAAAAATGTTAAACATCTTACTAGGTTAACATCATCCCATGTACCATGTCCCTAAGAAGAGGTAGGTGGGAAAGGGTAAGACAAACATAAAGAGTCATCACGTTCGTACGTTTTCGGCTACTAATTGGATCCCTGAGGCAAGGGATTAGTTCTTTTTTGCAATGAAGGACTATGGTGGGAGAACAGTTCCACGTTATTAAAATAAAAAAAATAAAAAACAACAATTTTGGAAGAAGTCAAGGAATCACACCATAGTACTGTCGGTGGAAGCATTACTACTAGCTGTGGGTTGCAGGTTCATGAAGGTGTAATTTCAAATGATATTAATCGCACACATTGGTACATTGTATATAAAAGTTGGATTTTTCGGTCAGATGATACAATGATAATTGGATTTGAAATTATAGTTATTTAAATCAATGGAAGTGATTAAACTCATTGAGGGTACATAAATAGGGGTTAGTGCCCCTGCCATTGCCAGGTCCGATGTACGTGACTTTAATTTCACATGCACAAATTTCACATGCACAAAGGCCAAGAAAAGTTATCAAGTGCTCTTGATATACAAAGAAATCCACAATTACAGAAGCATTGATCCATCAATACTCAACTGAAGGACAAATTTTGTTTTTGAAACATGAAGATAAAGCATACTGAAGCATCCCCTTTGCAAGAACAGGTAACTAAGCATCGAAAGGAAGAATTTCCCCCTTTGTGAATAACTTTCCATTGCTCTCATTATTTACTTCTTACCCTTTTTTTTACCTAATGAAGGTAGTGTTGGCCCTCTTAGAGCACCTCATAATCTACACGGGGGACATGCAGTTCCCCGTCCTACATGCAGCGAGCAGTTATCGAAAAAATTCTTTGGGGGTGGCCCTAAGGGGATTTGAACTCCCGACCTCCAAGATGTGTAGTAAGTCTTTGCTACTACTATAGTTCTCTTTATAGGGAAACAATAAGAAATTACCTCTCATCACAAGTAGTATTTTCTTGGGATAACTTATCTGTCTTGTCTTCATTCATATCCTTACCAGAATCTAGAGACACTTAGAGACTTTTAGAAGAGAAAACTGTAAAAAGAGTTCTAGGAGGAAAATGGGATTAAGACAATATTGATCTACACAAAAGAAGGGATACACTGATAGCTAGAACATGATACATAGATTACAAAACTTTTATACAAAGCAAACATTTACAGCAGATCTCATGCTAAATATTGTTCTAGACATTGTTTTAGGTTATTAAAAGTAACAGGCTTCGATACAAACGAGTCCATACCATTTGCAAAGCACTCATCTGCACTCTCTGCCAATGCGTTGGCTGTCATCTGCAATTACCACAGCTAATTTTGTAAGTGGATATATATATATAAACATAATTCTGTATCAGTATTATTAGTTTATTTTCTGTTAAAAGTACAGAACTTATCTGTGTATCAAATATGCTTATAGTTAGTCTCACAAAACTACTCAGAGCTTGATTTAATTGCTTATAATAGTGTTATTTAGGACTGACATATAGACGACTATCTAAATTTCAAGCTTGATTTAAATGCTTATATAGAATCATTTAGGACTGACATATAGACGACTATCTAAATTTCAAAATGTATTACAGATGATTCGATATTTGAACTTATGATAATAAGGCGGTAAAATAATTTCAGTATATATATGATTGAAGTGATGAACAAAAAATAATTAGTGCTAAGAGATTAAGATATCTGTCAAACCAGCAAATATGAATCTTCAAATGTGCAAGCAATTTTTTTCGAAACGAAGTTTCTTGTTACCAACAAGTTTTATGATGAAAAGCAGCACAACCACAGAAAACTACATGATTTTTAGGAAAGTTTTGATGTTTAGAAGGCTTAATTCATTACTCAATATATTTGATAAACTATTGAAACTTGAAAATCATCACAAAAGGGCTTAAATAATGCCTCTGCATTTTCTGAGGTAGATACAAAAAGGATAAAACTTTCCGATGTTCAAGCCTGACTCAACTAGCATACAATTAAATCTCATCATTGGGTTTTCCAATTATGGAATTATTCACAAGAAAAAAAGAAAAAAAAATGCAGTCTTATGCTATCAACACCCAGAGGCAGCAAAAAGTAGGCAAGTTTTTTTGCACAGTTACACTATGAACAAGTGCAGGCAAAAAAGCAAGCTAAAACTGGGCTGCGAGAAAAGACATGATGGCCTTTGATTTAATGGGAAGTATGGGCACACGGGTTGTTGTGTGTGTGTGTGTGTGTGTGTGTGTATACATTGGCAAGTAAGTTTCAGAAACACCCATTAGTCCCACTGGGAACTTGAACACTCGGGCTTCCATTTGGAAGCAGGAGATTGTACTTGGGCTAAGCCCTTTGTGGTACAAGTATATTGAAATGAGAAAAGATTGTTTTTCTCATATGCCAAAAGTCATTAGGATTGCTTTGCGGAGCTGAGAAAACAGAAATATCAAAGGCAGATCATAGAGAAATGAAAGAAAGTGATTAAAGTAAATTTTTTTGGGGCAACATGAATTAGGAGTGCTTACTGCAACGATGGGGATCCTCTTTGTAGATGGTTGAAATTCTTCACCACTTGCCGATGAATCTGAGGAAGGTGCATGCTGCTCAATTCCAGCTTCAACTGCAGCATCCCAATTGCCAGTTTCCTCAAAAGAACGAATCAATCTTGTAGCTTGAAGGCCATCCATTACAGGCATGCATACATCCTACACATAAATTTTAAATTCTTATACACTAATACTCAAAATCGGTTCACATATTTCTTCCATTTCTCGTTCTCTTTGCATAGAGAAAACTAAAAATATATATATCGAGAAAAGAAAAACACAGAGAGGAAAAGAATACTAAAAAAAGGTGAGAGATTTAAGTTTAGTCTCTAATGATAATTGCTGAACTATTTCTTCTATATTTGTCGCTTTTCTGAACTGTTCTATTACATGACTGCTATATGGATGCCCCATGAAACAATGTCTTACATTAGATTTTCTAGGTCTTCTGGAAAGGGGAAAATAGTGAGATCTATTGCTTTCCTGGCATATTAATGCACATATAGTGGGATTTGTCCTGGTACAAAACTGTATACCTTTCTTTACATCTTTTCCAGGATTTATGTGTTTTGAGTAGTGCCTTGCAAAAGGCATTAATTTAGGCACACCGCACACCCAAGACGAGTTAATAGCTCATGATGCAAAAAATTAATGAAGAAAGAGGATCATTTCAACCTAGCTCTGATTTAAGGAAGCTTTTAAGAGTTCCATCCATGTCCACAAATATGCAGTGTTTCATTGGAAGTTATGACATTGGTAATAATTAGGGTATGCTCAAGTCGGTCTACCGTATTTCAGAACATCTTAGAAAGTAATATGTGATTGGATTTCGCAAAGGTCACTCAACCATGTTTCAGAACATACTGGGAAGTACTTTATGGTGGTTCTTACATCATTGAATTGTAAATTTCCATTGTTTTCTTTTGCTGGATGGGTTATCTGCAAATGTTTTTGGCGCTTCCTAGTGCTAGAATGGAAAGCATCAAGGAGGTTTACACTTGTTCCACAATGAAAATAAGGCTATCGACCATGCTTTGCGAGAAAATTTTCCTATTACCGATTGTGTAAATCTAATTTCGAATAATAGGCAATTTAATAAAACAGTATAGATCTAATTTCTAGGAGTAAGAGGGCATTTAACTTTGCAAATATACACTCAGTGAGAGAGATGTAGCTTTGGAGTAAAGAGAGAATGAACAATATACAAAGAATAAGATTCCGTCACATAAGCTGAATTATTAGCATAATTAGAGAGAGAGAGAGGAGTGAAGAAACAAAAATGTTGAAAAAAGAAAGAGTAAACACCTATGCAGAACCCTAGTGAAGTTACATTTGAGGACTATAGAATATCATGTATGTTTGCTAGTCATTGAATATCAAAGAATCTGGCCAAGGATATGACCTTACTATAACTAGACTAATAAAACTATGGGCTGGAAAAGAAATTAAACGAACTTTAAACTTAAATTTAACGAAAGAAACTGAGAGACAGAGCCCAGTCATCAACATGAATAATCATTGATTGGTGGCACAATCAGTTATAAAATAATTCAGCATAACGATTTAAACTTTTGAGTAGTTGGCAGTTCAAAATTGTCTCAAAGGAAAGCATAATCTGGGGCTCTAATCTCAAGGCCTTTTAGATCATTATAATTGATGCATGTGCTTGGCCAACTCATGGTGGGGAGGTTAGACGACAAGTTCAAACGCCGTTGTCCTTAAAGAGTGTGCACATTAACGAGGAAGGAATGTATAAAATGTTGTTAAAGGAAAAGTACTATGCAAATAACAAAGGATAAAGTTTGTGATTCTTGTGAAGTTACCATCAGAATGAGATCATAAGTATGGGACTGAACTGCACGGACGGCTTCAACTCCATTATTCACAACATCTATGTTATGACCTAACCGCTTCATCATAGACTTTGTCACTGTCACATTTATCTTGTTATCTTCAACAAGAAGGATTTTAGGTTTCAATGTTGATATGGGAATTTCTGGACTGTTACGAGAAAAACACGGAGAGCTTTTATCAGATTTCTCCTGTATCTGATGTGTTTCTTGGGGATCTTTTGGCTTTATAATTCCACCTGCTTCTTCACTTGCCCTTGAGGAATGAGTGGAATGCATACAAGGATTCTGCAACTGACTCTCTGTGTCATTATTAAATTGTATTTCTCTACCTTCTTTGTTGTCAGTCTCTGGACTCTGCCCCAGTGAACTTTCAGGTTCAGATGATGTCTCAGAAGCATAGACCATTGAACAGGCTTCGTCCACTGAAGTCATCTCTTTTGATGTGATGTTACCAGATGGGAATGTATAAGAATCTTCTGACAGCCCATTAAGCTTAGGTGAGGTATCAAACCCAAAATTGTTTGGTGATAATTTTTGGGTCCTGCCTGAACCATTAGAAGAAAATAGAGAACCCAAAGTGCGTGGTTGGAATTGGAAGAAGCCAGAACTTGTATCATCATCATCAGCATCAGCTGCTGCATCATGATCAGCAATGTCTGAGAGTTCATCGTTATCATCAGAATCATCGCATATGAGTGAAACCTTATAAGGCAGTACAAATGTAAACGTAGATCCAAAGTGCTCTTGGCTGGAAACAGTAAGATGACCCCCCATGAGCTCAACCTATTCCACATGCATATAACTATTAGAAATGTACGGAGAGATAGATGGTTAGCAAAACTTAGTAAATCTTACAGAAAGCTCAAGAATTATATTTGTGAGTTAAAAAAAAAAATACTTTGATGATCCATTTTCCAACTGTCATATATCTAGCATTAATATAATAATAAATAAGCTACTTATAATTTTTTTGGTGGCTCGGACAAGCAACAGCGAGATGTCTTCATAGCACTTACAATTATTGTAATTTATTTATATTTCACAGGACCGGGATTGGAAAATTATATGTACTTTTTGGATCATACGTAAAAACGTAGTGTATCAGGCTTGGTGAACTTGCAGTTAAATTTCGATATATGCTTGCTTATTCAGTAACTTCAAATTTTTAAAGAATATATTGTCTGTAAAAATTTTAACTGCTCTTTAAGAGAAAATTATTTAAGTTGCAGATTCTCAAAGCTGAGAGTGGCTCAATGACTGATTTAACATCATGAGAATAAGAGAGGATAAAAAGCATAATTGAAACAAAAAATTGTTTTGATCTTCATTTCAGACCATGCCTGGTAGATTTTTGACAAGAGAAATCAATGGAAATGTAAAAAGATATAATGGCTAAGAAAAGGTCACCAGTTGCTTGCAGATTGCTAGGCCTAGTCCTGTTCCGCCATACTTCCTGGCAGTATCTGCTCCGACTTGCATGTATTTCTTAAAAAGAGTAGGCAAAGCATTTTCTATTACATCATAACAAAAAATACAATGGGTAAGCTCACTATGTGAATAGTAGTGCAAAGCATTGAATGTTTTTTGTGTCTTTTTACAAGGAATATCATATTACAAGATTACCTGGTATTCCAATCCCTGTGTCATAAACATCACACCGTATCCACACTGTTGTTTCATGTGGGTCAGAGTGCTTTTCTGTGTCTTCATCCATTGAGCCTCTATTTTCAACAGGAACTTTTGGTTCAATATTAGCTGCTTGATTTTGTAAAGGACCTTCCCCAGGTTTTTGTCCACATAAACCTTTTTGTTCATAACTACGTTCAGGCATTGATAAATAATTATCTTCCTTCCGTATAGTTTCAGAAATTGTGGACTGTTTTACATGACTTCCTTTTCCATCATCAGGATATGGATCTGGTACCACATAAAGCTTTATCCCAACCTTCCCTTCATGGGTGAACTTGATTGCATTACTGCAGAGAGTAGAAACTCACAACTTAAAGCACAACCACAGTTCACAATGAATGCAAGAAAGGGGTTAACATATTTGAAAGGCATAACTTATAATTTAAAAGGGGTTAACAAATTTGAAAGGCATAACTTATATATTGCATTGTCCTTTAAATTTCGGTCAGCTATGCTTGTTTGTTCAGTAATCGAACATTAAAATTTACAAACAGTATAAGGAGACCATATACATGTTTAACATTCTGGATGCAATATAAACAATGAGAAAGACCTCAATTTCTAAAGAGATTGATAACAGATGTTGCATGATTGTGAAGCAATCCACTATGTATTGCTGAAATATATGTCAGAACTCTGGAAAAGCAAACATTGGGCATTAGTCAATGACAAGATCCTTTTCTCCCGACACAGTTTCAAGTTTCAAATATAGTTCTGATAAAAAATCTTTTTCTTTTTTTGCATTAAATTGATGCATTTTCATACAGTTGATGGGTATGAGATAATGAGTTAGGGATCGAATTGATGATGGATAATGAGGGTGAACCTTAGTGCAACGACAAGGTTGCTCCATTTTGACCTGGAGATCATGGGTTTGAATCATGAAAGCAGCCTCTCCGCATGCGGGGGTAAGGCTGTGTGCATCTGCCCTCCCCATACCTTGCATTGGCGGGTGCCTCGTGCACTGGGCTAGCCCTTCTTTATGATTACTTGATGAAATTATGATAGTGTGTATTAACGATCCTTTTGACTTGGATTGAGTAGCCTATGATTTGATTTGAGAAATGTGGTGATTTGCATATATGAATTCAGAATTGGTGCTACTTATCTGTGTCAGGAGTGACCTGCGTGAAAACTTTCATGCACTATCAATGTGAAGATTGGCAAGTGCACAAGGCTTTGGGAAGGGATAGAAAATATTAGAAAGTCATTAGACTTGAGACAATATAGTAACCAAGGGCATATTTATTCAATACATGAATATTGAATGTCTCCATTCTATGTTGCTCAGCATTTGAAGTTATAAATGAATCATCTAGAATTGGGCCATTAATAAAACTAGATTTGTTGACACAGTTAAAGCTAAGTGGTTATGATTAGGAAATAGCAAAATGCAACTTTTCCAATAATTAGTCGACTTTTTTCCTTTTGCTCTCTTTTTCCTTTTTTCCCCATTTTCTGCAATGGCCACAATCATGGCAATGGACAATGGATTGTACATAGACTTATAAATAAAATGCAATGGGCAAAATTCGATTTCCATAGGACGTCTAGTGTGCCCTAAAGAAATTTCTTTGAACATTCTGGAATGTCAGAAGAATTCACTTTCCCATCCCTATTACCATGCATGTTGTGCCTCAATGTAGAGAAATAAAAGTCCTACTAGAGAAAGATTTAAGGTTAATCTAAATAAAGAAATCAAATATTTATATCCACAAGGATAGCCAAAGAAGAATTATGGTCCCTACAGAGATCTTACCTGATCAAGTTAGTGAGAATTTGTCGAATCCTTAAAACATCCCCAATAACCTGCAATTGATGCTTAAAGTTAGATGTAATATACTTGGAGGGATGAATTAACTCTTGAACACGGCAATGAAGTAAACTTTGAACACATTGAGGAATGTTTGAAATGGAAGGAACTGCACATACGGGATTTGGTGCTTCTAAACAACAAATGCCGTGAGGCAACATAGGTAAATCATGCATAGGACGTTATGCGAAAAGAATTGTGAAAGATTGTCAACATAGTTTAGCAGAACAAACCATAATATCTTACAGTGCAATTACAAGCACTTAACAAGTGCATCAAGAGAAAAATAAACATGCATGTTAGTAAACTCAGAGAAATCAACAAGTTTCAGTAGAAACATCAGGACACTGAACAAGATAGTAGTAATAATTAGTCCAGTTCTAAACTTCTAATACAACATGTGAGAAACAAGCATCACGAGCCTTTAACATAAGATTAGCATCAAGACATGCATCAAGACTGAATAATGTGCCTTACCAAAAGAAAAGACTGAATGATGTGTCTTGTGATTTGAGCCTCTTTAGATGCACGGTATGCATCTAAAGATATCTGATTGTTCTTCACCTCCATAAGCATGAGTTGCATGATTCCACAACTTTTATATAACTATTATTGTGGTTTTAAGCACATCACATTGTTCTCTTAGAATATGCTTTCCTGAAGTCAATCAATGGTTATTTAATCTGATAAGGCCCTCTCAAAGCTAAGTTTATTAACAATTTTGTAATATTTTTTAAATCATGTAATCTTTTTTATGGAACAAGTTCATCCTCTAAATATGGACAAGCTCTTTCTCATGTGAGTATTTAGAAAAATAAAATGAACATTGCAGTGAGGGCTAGGGTTAATTTTTTTAAGTAATTGTCTTAAGCTTTGATGCTCTCTACCTAGTGAAAGACCATTACCCAAATGTTAGCTCCACCACTGCAAAAGTTTTGAGGGGTGAATTGGGTACAGACTACAACAAGGCAAAGACACATTAATAATATATAACTTTACTCCTATGTTGAAGCATAAGATTTGCCGTCCCACCAATCCTCCATTACTCCTGTTTTAGTGAGAGGGAATAGGACAAAAAAATTCTATATAAACCCTCCAATCTCTATCTTCATTTCACACTCGTCTGTTAAACCCTTCCTTAATCTCTAGTGCTCTTGCTCTCTAGCCTTTTCTCTCCCTCAACCTTCAAGATTTTCTCTTCAAATTCTCTCACTCTCACTATTCAGCAGGCATTTCTTATGTAGGTTCTCACACCCGTCATACTCATGGCTGAAACTAGTGGTTCCAAAAGACAATGAAAGGAGAAGTCTCTTATCCCTTAACCCACTGAACAATGGCCACAATCCTCTTCAACCAAACGAAAGATCAGTTGCTCAACTCTCATGCTCATGATAAATACCATAATAATTTCAAGGGTTGCTCACTTAATGTTGAAAGAGAGGTTCAAATTGAAGATTTTAAGCCTTACAAAGTTCACACAATGATTACATCCCGGCAATGGGAATCGGGTTTTTTTTTCCCTGAATGAGTTCACGACATCACATCTTCTATTCAAACGTGCATGATTTTGACACCACCAACAACACATTCAAAACCTCCTACAATATGTTCTCAAATCACACCAGAGAAAATTGAAGTTTGGATGAAGACCATCTAGTCCCCATAGTCAATCTCAACTTCATATGCACATGCCTTGTAATTGAGTTAGCAAGGTTCAAAGTGACTAATGTCAAACCTCAATTTCAAGTTTTAAATATGATTTTGAAAATCAACCTTGAACCAAAGGATCACGCCAACGACTTTTCTTATACTATATGGGCATGAATAGTGTAGTTGCTCTACCTGCATTTGTGGCTTGTCATATGATTCTCACTGGATTGGATAATAGCACAAGAAAATCCTTACCATTCCCTCTCCTTATTTGTCAGATTCACTGAGTTACTTTGGAGCTGAATTTAATCCTTGAGAGGAGATGCCAAAGGTTAAAGATGTTTTAGACAAACATCGCTTCAAAAGGCTGTCTCCCATCTCTTTTCAAAACTACAGTGACAAAGAATAGGATATCAACAGCGATCAACAACAAGAAGAGGAAGCCCACGCGCAACCTCAAGCATTCCCTCCTCAAAACGCTCCATATGCTACCATTGATGACATCCAATGACTCGAGCAACAAATGACCAACATTTGGCTCCATGTCAATGCAGATTATAGTGCAAGGATGGACACATTGGCTGCTCAACAAGTCGCAAACCTTCAAGTGCTCCATAATTACATGCAAAATGTGCACTATGACATTAGAAGTATTGAAGACATGATAAAAAGTTCCAAGGATGGAGCTAGTGCAAGTGGTGGTGGGGGTCATGGATATGCTTGATTTGGTTTTCTAATTCTAAGGATCTATCTATCTATCTATCTTTTTGTATTTTATGGTTCTATATGGTGTTTTCTTTAATTTTTTTTAGGATTAATCTCTCTAACAATTTTGTATAAGTCAATAGGACTTATTTGGAGTTCCTATAACAATAGGCAAGTCTAATTATGATATTTTTCTATTAATGAAATATGAAGTTAATTAATTCGTGTTCTCCAATTCTCTTTGTTGATTCTATTTTTGTCAATTTCTTGACAAAAAGGGGGAGAATGCATATAATTACACATGCGTGGTGAATCATTCTGTGTCAAAAATTGATTTTCCAAATATGATTCGAACTCTCTTAACCCTAATTTTATACTTCTATGCTCTATATAAACACCTTATGGCTTCATAAAACCTATGCAAGAAATATATCACAAGCATACGTTGAGCATCAGAAAACTTTGTGAAAGTGCATTCTAGCAATCTAATTGCTAAAGCTTTCTTTGTTCTCATTCATCATTCATACACTAGATGGCGAGTGAATCTTGGACGTTAAACTTCAAATAATCCAAAGAACAATGAAGATTTCCAAAACAAGAAAAATCTTCCAAACAACTACATAGAACAGACAATACTAGTCATGGGGATCAATGTGCTAAAGGAGGAGCACATGTAAGAACTTTGATTGCCCCAAAAGCTTAAGCACACAAGGAAAATCATGGAATAGGGCTGTAAAACAAACCAAACTACTAGTGTTCAACTAGCGATCCTCTCAATTAGAGGATTGTTTGGGATTAGCTCATGAGACAAACAAGTCAAGTCTGGTCATAATTTGAAACTCGGTAATATATTTAGCTTGCCTTGATAAGATTACAAGTATTCCAAATCATATATAAAAATAGAAATTAAAAAAGCTATTCAAGCTTGGCTAGCAATTGGCTTGGATAAAGTCTCGCTTGAGATTTGCTTAAGAGATAAATGAGCCGATCTTCATTATATTTTTGGGGCTCATTAATTTTTTGAGAAAAGCCTGACCAATCCACTGCTTGACTCAGCTCAATTACAACCTCTCATGGACAATACAGAATGTCTAATGAATCTGAACCATGTTATAGAACACATAATTTTCAAGGCAAAGTTACAAGATGTAGTAAAGCTCTCACCTCCACAGGAACATCATTTGCCACATGTCCTTCCAAGGTCAATATTTTTTGTAATGATGCCGCAGCAGTCTGAAGTACATGCTTTACTACCTCTCTTGGCCTGAATTTTGTAGATTCCAACTTCATAACTCCTAAAAAGGGTGAACGAATTATAATAGAAATGATAGCAAGTGAAAATTTCTTCGTATGTTAGCTTGTTTATCAGCCAGATCATCATGGAAAACTACAAAATGGACAAGAAAATGGAGCTAATGAAATAACCACACATGTCAAACCTGATCTACTATGCAATGCTTGATCATCATTATTATATCACCATGATGCTAAAGTTAAATAAATACAAATGTTAAAATACTAGTGTCTGAGTAGTGATTATGAAGAAGGCAAGTAAAAGAGTCGAAATAAGGATCACGTGAAACCATTAGGAAAGGGATGAATTTCAAACCTGACTCAACCTTGGAAAGGTCAAGGATGTCATTTATAAGTTGAAGGACCAAATCTCCCGAAGATAACATGACTTTCAGCAGTTGTCGTTGCTCCTTGTCAAGATGTGTGGTGGAAAGAATCTCAGCCATGCTTACAACCCCTGATAGTGGAGATCTTATTTCATGAGACATGGTTGCTAGCATTTGTTTAGCTCGCATTGTTTCCTCTGTGAGAAGAACAAATACATAGAAATGAATGACCTTCCCTATTATTAATGCTGATTAAAGAGAACTCACAACCACTTATAATTGCATGAGTAGGTAAACCTGTTATATGAATTGTTTTGTTAAGTTCTTTTTCCCTAGCTTTTTGTACTGCTATCTCCTCTCGAAGCTTTGCCATCTTTTCCCTTTTCCTCACCTGTTGTGAAATCATAAACATTACATTTCCTTGTCTTTTATCATAACATATCATGACCTTAAATGAATAATGTAAACAAAATAAATAAATAAATGAGCAAAAGTAGAACTTTTTTAATAAATGAAAAAGTATACCATTGATCATTTTATTTTATTTATTATTATTTATTTATTTATTTATTGTAATTTTCTAAAGAGAATATGGTTACATCAGCATCCATATGTGGAGTCACCTCACCATAGATAACCACCTTTCACCATAATCTCTGCTTCTTCATTATCAAGTAAATCAGTCTACCACATAAAAGAATTACTGTGCAAAAATGTTTGGTACACGTAGAACCAACCTAGATAAGACTAGTGCACTGGTTGAAGTTGATCAGAAAGTCTAAGATGGCTAAATGAGTCAAGCAGCTAAAATGTCAGTTCCCAGTTTAGCCAAGTTGCACTTTACGAATATTTCTTTTTTTTGATAAGTTCACTTTACGAGTATTTCTATGGCACAAATATTCACTTTTGTATGGTATTTTTGTTTGAAACCAGATAACATTAGCAATCCAAGCAAGAAGACCAGTGAATGACCATACTCCACACAGGGAAAGTAGAAATTTTATTTTCTGGTGGGGGCAGCCAGGGTGATGGAAAGAACCAACAAGGTTTTAAGAAGGATTGCCAGAAAGTTTGACAGCATCTAACAGCACCTATGCATGCCCAGTGATGAAATCACAAAAATATTTAGTCTTCATATGTCATTGTAAAATTTTCAAGTACATAACATAAAAGAATCTGTATAACCAGAAATAATTCAAAGAGATTCGAACATGATGTATATTGAGAATACACGCACTGATAATGACTGATGATTCCTTCATATAAACCAAGATAAGGTCTTTAATATCAATTACAGTTTTGGAAATCTATCAAGAAGGGTTAGCCAAACTATATTGCAGAGCTCAGGTAATTTATCTTTTCACCTTCCATAAACAACCTATTAAAACAAATGGATAAATAAGAGGGATCAAACAGGCAATTAGGTCAAACATAAATAAAGAAGGAAAATAAGAACATATCTCATTTTTACAACAACTAATCTGTCATGTTCCAGCTTCAAAATTTTAAATTCCAGTGTGCTTAGTATATTTTCTCTTATTTTCTACTACATAATAACCAAGAAATCATTTCATTTGATTGTGAATTTTCCATATTTGATTGACTAGAAATATTAAACAGGTACAGGAGGGCAATATATCCGTGAAGCTCAAGTGTTCCCAAATTCTAATAGAAGTATCCATGGAAAATTTTAAAGTTCAAAAGGATGAACAAAATGAAAGTCATAGAGTTAACTATTTGTTCTACATAAAACAAACACCCAACATAGAAATTGAAAATAATCTATTCCATGATTTGGAGATGATATATCTAAAAGGTCAACTATTTCTCCAGTATTGTGTTTTATATAATCTGATTACTTATGTCATTCTTCTCAGATTCAGTAAAAGCTTCAATTAATTAATGCATAGAGTATTGAAATAACTTTTCGAATATGGTGGTCATGACTCACGAATCAAATTAAAATACAACAGATAATGGGTCAAAGTTCCTGTACAAGTGCTACGGAGAAGGCCCCATATTTACAGAGAAAATTGAATACTGAGAATGAGCTCACCTGATCGGTTATTTCCATTCCCATATAATTCACACCAATTGTTTCTCCTGCCTTGCTGAAGACAGGTTCCACATATATCAAAAATGTCTTTGACCCAAACAATTCTGTCTCAAAGGTAATCTCCCTCTTTGCAGGTAATCCCCGTTCCAGAACTTCTCTTTTGAAGTCCTGAGATTCCTTAACACCAGCACCAGTGAAAATCTCCACATCTGTTTTCCCTATAATCTCCTGAAAAATCAGTGAATTTGAGGAATGCCTGTGCATTCTGCAAGCAGTACTTCAAAGAAGCAAAAAGAATTTAAAGAAAAACCTTAAGTTGATAAGAAAAAAAAGCCATACATCAAATAGGAAGTATGTTCTCATGCTTCAGACCCAATACTTAACTAAAGAGGTTATTGTAGAAATGGAATAGAACTTTACATCAATCCAACAATCCTCAAACCGAAAATAAAATTTCTTCAGCAATCAATTACCTCCTCTTGCAAACTTGGAAAATGATTATAAATGAAGCGATAGCGCAGCTCTTTATCCTGAAAGAAAAAAAATTATATACATTATTCTCAGCCTATTATAACTACAAGATACAAATGATGAAGAATAACAACAAAACAGTGATGGAGAAGCATTAAAGACAACAATGAAGCTAAGGATATTTAATTAAAACATATATTGAATAGAAGAAGTTGTAAGGAACAGATATACAGGATTAACATATCAATTTTCATCCCTGAGTGGCCAGATGCTGATAGTACTAATACTGTGTCCATACCGTGCCTTCATTTACGGATGCATCACATATATGTATCAGGATCAGACTGCTAACAGCTCGTAAACTTATCACAAACTAAATTCAAGTCCTAGTCTGTTGACCCCTGCTAGTATAGCAAATGCGTTAAGTGATTTGCCAACAATGGGTTTAAAAATGGTCCTGGATAAGCAACTTAACTATTATACCTTATTAATTAATTTGACATGGTAAGGAGTGATATACTATTGAAGGAAGGACAACAAAGCAGCAAAAATGAAGACAAGGCCGCAAGAAAGAAACATAAAAACCAAATATTTCAACAAAAGAGATGGCATTGATAAATAAATAAAACGAAAAGTAAAGAAAAAACAGGATTTGTGTTGCCAACCTCAAATGAGAGGGAAATTAACTTTTTGTGTTAATATTAGCAGTTTTCCCATCATACAGGTTTTTACAACTTTATAAACTTTATTGATGCATGAGAAGTTAGTAACTTGAGAGATAACGTGTCTTAAGCTGTGCAGTGCTCATAAGTCGCTTCCATCTTGTATATCTTATAAGGAAAACATGAATAATGTTTATTACAAAAATTTGCAAGAAAATATAAATGAAAGGAAGAATTACGCTTAATGCAAACTGGTTTGGAAAATTTTCACACTTATATGAACGTCATCGTATCAGCAACAGTAGATTTTTAGAAAGTAGTGCTTGAAAGCTCTGAAAAACAGCTAATTCAAAACCATTGGCTTATTCTATAGTGAATCTTGGATTACACAATGTATCTGTTATCAGCATCTAACTGAATCTCCACACCAATGTATGTCTACGACTGGTGCAGTTAGATTGCTCAATGAGTCAGGACATCCACTCAGCAACCTACCTCTTCATATGGTGATTAGCAGTTCTCCTGTTGTCCCCTTGTATCAATGACCACTTTAGGCCTAATGCAAGCATTAGGTCACCTAGCTATGTGAGGCTTCATCTTAACCACACTAATGAATTACACCAAGTGAATTATGACAAGCAGAAACGTCAGCAAGATATATACTTCTTTCTATTTGTCTGAAGTCTCGTGACTAGGAAGAGCCACCCTACATGAGAGAATCATGGCCTTTTAAACTCCTAATCTTATAATTCGATTCCACAACATATTTTTATGTTACTAATTGGGACATAACATCTTGTGGTAATTGTAAAAATAAAACTAAATATAGCTTAAGAAACAATTTTCATATTAAGTAAACAGTATTAGTATGTTACATGAAATAATTAATTTTTTTCAAAACCACTTGTCAATAAAACCAGGTTTAATGGTTCAAAAACAATTACATTCTGATTTAAAAAGTTATTGGATAATTGAGCTATATCATTTCCAAACATTTTTCGGAGATCAGATCTGTGTAGCTGAATATGTCATTGGACAAGCTTCAACTTCACCATCACATGGGGAATCTGGAAAAACATGATCAGCTTAAGATTTTCAAAAACCAGTAATCATCGGCTTTATTGTAATGAAGGTGGGTGGGAGAGTAATGCAGTAGTGGTGATGGGTATATGAGCTAGTAAACTAAAACATCAAGAAGCAAAGCCACCACCAGATAGACCATTGCTATCACTGTTTTGGCTACTATAAATGTCAAACAATCAAAATAGAAGGCTGATTATCTGTTTTGAGAAATTGAGAAATGGGAGTGCTATGCCTAAAATAGTGGCGAGAATACAAAAGAAAATGGATAGACTATTTACAAACATAAATTTTACATGAAATTGCAGAACTTTTTTTAAGGATGTTCAGTTACTCATATTTATGCAATGATTCATCGTACAAGAATGCATCATAAATTGATTTTTATTTATATATTATTTATTTATTGGAGGGGAGAGGAGGGGAGAGAAGGGAGGGGTTAAGAAAAATACATAAATAATATGTGGCCTTGGTAGCATTAACTGGAAAATATACATATCCATCAACATTACAATTAATAAGGTCTGCTTGCTACAAAGCAGATGACTGTTGGGGTGAGTTTTTGCCTGATTGCTGTATGAAATGAATACCTTAAAATTGAGAATTCTCCCCTTTCTCAAAAATCATGTTGTAACCAAAGTTCCTTTATGGAAATTAGATCATGTTATGTTACGATGTTCTTCATGTTTGTAAATTCAGCACAACGGAAAATGCAATTGGGAAAAAAATGGAACTGAGTTACAAAATTGAGCAACATACACAACCTTGGTGCCACAACATAAGAAATAACATAGCATTATGGCGAAGCCACAAACTGAAGGATTTAAATCACATATCTCATAATTTACCTGGTGGCCAATGACAACTGGTGCGTTCTGAAGAACAAAATGTAAAAAATTATCTGCTCTTTTCAAAATCTGGGAAAGTTCTTCCACCGGTGAGGACTGCCTTTCCAGATCTTTTATGCTTTCCTGCAACTTCTCCACGAGTACCTGCTCTCGCTGGATGCTTGCCTCCAACAATTTCTCTAAATTCATGGCCCGCTGCTTCCAGTATTTGACAGTGTCATACTCAGCATCAATTTCTGGTCCTTTATTTTGAACAATAACAACATTTCTCCTCTGAGGAACATCTTCCCATATGTCATAAATGTCATCCAATATAGATATCGGCCGCTTATCGCCACCATATCTTTCTTCAAAACGATGTTCCTCCAATATTTCCAACTTCTTGAGCTCAACTTCCTGCCTTTGTTTGTGCAGGCTGTCAAGCTCTTCCTTGAGAAGTCGTACAGCATTTGCCTGCTTGTACTTCCAGTTTTTGACAAGGTATGCCAACTGAGAGGATCCCTTTTCACTGTAATTGGTTAACTCTACAAGACGCTTGAAATCAACTATAGTAGGCTCCTCTATGAATGTAACCTCCTCCAACATATCTTGATCAGCTCCTGGCCTGTCTATGTTGAATTGCCTACCAGCTTCATTTATATCTTCAGGCCACATTGAAGAGAGGACTTCAATGTCCATTTCCTCTAGATGGTCGTTCTCCATCTCGCAGACCATCAAAATCACTTTTATATCACATCCAATTCGTTTGTCTGCAAGATTAGTAACAACAACATGCTGCTCGACCTGCTTTCGTGCATGAATATGTGCCTCTGATCTAACCCGTGGTTAAGTCCATGCAACTTTTATTTTCACAAAACAACAATAACAGAACAACTAGAGAATATTTGGAGGGACCAAGTTCCAGGCTAGATGGGGGCCTGCGTAAGAAATTAACAAACAAATAAAAATCATAAATAAAGCTTTGAAATAAGAAATCAGGTCATTAAATGCAAACAAATCATAACACTAAACTTATCGAAGTTGAAATTCAGAAGGGAGATTGCTGCATAATTGGGTTGGTACACAATGAATGCAACAGAAGATATAACAATTAATGGTTGACCTCATGCACATGACAAAATAAGGTTGAAGTGAACTGATAGGCAGTCTTACAACACTTGTGACAACCAAGCAATAAGAAGGACAAGGTTATATTTAAGCTTATGAGATTCGCGGCCAAAAAAAAACTAGTGGGAAGATTAGATGAAAAAAGAAGATTCCACACAATTTTTCTTCAGTAAAAAAGATAGGTTACACCTTGTCCTAATCATATTCTCTTTCTTTTCTTTTTCTTTCTGAAGAATCCTTGATCTCAAGATCAAGCCCTGTAACGAAAAATTTGCTTGGCCAAAGACAAGGCCACACCCAGAAAACAACTATGATCTCAAATTGGACTCCAAATAAAAGAAACATTGAGGTGGAAAGGTATGCATGGGTGAAGAAAGAGGGGTACGAACAGCAAATTTTGGCGGTCTCGAACAGGATCTGAGAAAAGAAGCCTAAAGCTAACAACTATCCTGATTACACATCCACAACAACAATAAAATCCAATATAATCAAACAAACAGTATGAGTCACCAATATATTTATCTATGTATTATGTATGAAAGCATGCATGTGTTTGTCAAAGGCTATTTCACACAGAACACCACAACCACCAGACTAAGATCACCATGCACACTCATTGACACATGGCTCACAGCCTCCTGGAGAAATAGTACTTCACTCTATATCTCATCAATGTAAATTTTAACGAATTGAACAAAGCTATAAGATAAAAACTCATTTTGTAGACCCAATTGCAGGCTGAAATAGCATATAAAAGACCAAAAAGGAAATCCAATGTTCCCAATTTAGATCAAATGAAAAGTCCAAACAATTTCGGAACTCTTTCAAATTCCCATAAAAGAAAACATGAAATGAATGCCTTTGTTGGAAAGTAATTTCATAAAAGAAAACATGAAAAAATTTATATTGCATCACATTCAACTGAAAAGTTGATAAGCATATCTATTCGAAATCAAGATCATTGAGAAATTTTATCGACTAATTGGAAGACAGAAAATCACAAATCACCCAACATTCAAGGCAAGAGTTCAAAAACGAAATTCACTGGAATCCACATTTTGATAAACTACTTTGGAAGAAAATTCAGCAAAAAGTTTGAGAAGGACCCAAATTCCACAAAATGAATCAGAGATTCAAGAACTGAAACAATTTACAGCACATAAAAAATCTAATTACTAAACAGTAATATTGAAAATTATACATGAATTGTTGAATAAAATTCGCATTCAATTTGATGGCGAAGATTGAAACCTCGTGTTTGCAGAACTGTAGCACTCTGTTTGAAGAAGAACGAAGGTTGAGTTGAGCTTGTTCCTTTTCAGCTTAGATCTGAAAGAATCTCCCAAAAGATGGTGAGTCAACTAAAACAATAGGGCGTAGAGAGAGAAAGTAGAGAGAGAAACAGAGGAGAGCATGTGAGGGGAAAAGAGAAACAAAAATGTGGAGAGAGAGAGTGACTCAAGGAGCCATGTGCATTGGAGGTCAAAAATATTACTGTAATGTGATGCTTTCTTTGCACACAAATATTATAATTCAATTTCACTTGTTTGTGTGTGTTTGTGTGTGTGATTTGGGGCTATATTCATAGTATCTTCTGCAACTCTCAAGAGTCTTAAATCACAGATGATTCATCGGAGAAAGCTTCTCTACAAATGGTTTATTCAATCAGTATATAATATATAGTGAGAGAAAGTAGAGAGAGAGAGAGAGAGAGAGAGAGAGAAGATGAAGAGAGTTTTTAAATGGGGAGGAATCAAGGTTGCTCCCCGCCCTTTACGAGGTGACGTATTGGATTGGCGAGTTGGTTGACGCGCGACCCATGTGAGTTTGATTCTACAACAATATATAGTAAATTATTAATTTTTTTATTTGCAAAAGTCTTGAGGAGATAATCAACGTGCTTAGCAAGTTTATTCTTCTTCTTCGGTTATCCAAAAATATATATATTTTTTATTTTGTAGTGCAATATTAGAAAATAATTTGGAAATTTCTTTGATTGAAACTTTTGTGAAAACTTTTTTGAATTATACCTCAGTCAAAAAAAGGACAAATGCCAAAAAACACAAAAAAACCAAAGCACAAACAAATTTTCTAAGCACATTAAAAAATAATGCCATGAATTATAAATTGAAGAAAAACTCCCCTAATTAACTTGTATAGTTGTGAATATTCTCTTGGTGTTGGAGAAAATTTTTGAGACTCAAATGTTGTCAAAATTAAACAAAAAAATTGATTAAACACACACAAAAATACATAGATTTACACCCAAGAATTAGGGCCACGTCTATGGGTTGTTGGAATTTCACTATATTCGGAAAAATGGTACACAATAAAAAGGGTTTAGAATAAATAAATACTCTCGCACTAACGCAACATAAGAAGTGTGGAATTTACCACAATAGCTATAAATTAACATTTCGAGAAGTTATGTCAATATTTATCGAGCTCCACACTACCCATCATCTAACCCCTAACAAAAGCTTTTTTAAGATATTTCATTGCCAATGAGAAAAATACTTTTTTTGCTTTGAGAATTGGTTACTTTCTGGTCCTCTCCGTCTTATAGACTAACCCCTCCCTACCTTCAATCCACCCCTATTGGTAAATATACCAAAGTTAACAGTCTTATCTTCTTTGGTTCATGGCATTCTAAACTTAATGATCCTTCATCTTGACCATTCTACAAATAATAAGGTTCACTGAACCCCTTCTCCTTTTAGAGAATTTTCATAATCTCACATTTTGTCCAGCCTTACTCACGTTACCCTCTAGTATGGTGGTAAAAAATTGTTTCGTATACCAGAGATAACAAATCACTTATTTTTCTCCACTTCCCATACATTTGTACAATGTACGTGTTTCAAAGTAGCAGAAACCCATGACCACCTATTCTTCCTGTGTTTTTTTACCCTTTCCTTTGGTCATTTTTACTTCTCCTACTCATATAGATTTCTTTTTTGAAAATTTTAATATTCATTTTGATGATGTAAAACATTTCAAATCGGACTAAAGTACGTCATTGAATGAATTAACAGACTTAAGTCAGTCGTGTAGAACCATAAACCAAATATAAAAAAATATAGGAGAGAAAAAAAAGAAAAAGGGAGAAAGGACTATACATGTGTTTGCATGAAAAAATAACAACTAGCTCAGACCAAGGCTTGCTGAGTGAAATGTGTTGTGACAGAGGAATTAAGAAAACTCAAGACCAAGCCAGCATGACAACTTCAGATACCAAAATAAGTTCGTTCTCCCATACTTCGCCCAGAGACCCTGCCACTCAATAGCCTACTCGAAAGCTACAAGGACAAGCCATTTTGATACCTACTCATCCTAGCACGCGTTAAGAATAATAGAATTAAGACATTTTCTGGAGCAATCGAGCATCCTAAAATAAATAGAATCCACAAGTGAGCGACACACGACACCCTACTTTAGGGATGACTATCAGACTAATCTGAATCAGGCCAAGTTTTGATCATAAGTTGGTCACTGCTGAGAAGTCATCTCTCCCATCCATGTCCAAAAAGATCCAAGAGCTGAGTATCCTCAGCCTCGACTATAAATGAAAACCAAGGGCACACCCCATTTAGGTAGGTAAAATATTAAATTACCCTTATTTTATTAGTATATATAGTTAGCTCTAGAAACATTAAGTCACATTCACTTACTTTTTCAGTCGTTCTAGAGAGCGACAGAGCCCTACGAATTAAGAATGTTCATACCCTTGAATTTTCATGTTAAATTATTGATTGGACATTTTTTATGAATGTTTTCAATAGTTATATAATTTTATTTGAGGAAAAAATTAAAAAATGAGGAGAGATTCTGGAACTAAAAGGGGGGGGGACAAGTGCCCGCGGGAATGAAAAAGTTAAACAAGGCGAGGAAGGATGGAAAAACCTCCCATTTAAGCAGTTTTAGGTCGGGACGTGGTGGGGCCGGGGAAGGGTACACTAACCCAAAACTGCCCCTGTTGCCATCCTTATCCGGGATAGGGGTCCAGCACAAAAAATAACACACCTTAAAGTGTATAAACATATCTGTGGCCGGACCACATTTTATTTCGGTGGCAATGCCCTTAAGGTATTAGCCGAAGGTTTTTACCTTAAACTCGTTATACCAACCAGTCTCCGGGGCTTACAGATTTCGGACCCTCGCTTAACAAAGTCCACGTATGTTCTTCCCCCTAGAGGCCTAGGATGACCTGTTAATGTATTAACATTTTATGTAAGAACCCTACCGGAGTTATATTTCAACGAATGTGAGGATTATATTGTAGCCATGACTAGACTCATGTAAGGCACTAAGTTATCAGAATGTGAAATTACTTTTCCACTCTTTTTATTTCAATCATTAATGATTGTCTATTATATTTGAGTCCTGAGTGCTATATGAGGATAACTTTTTTCCTGCTAAATCGCACCTTGACCCTCGCTCTGAAAGTAGGGCTCAGGTTTATGCTTGTACCCAGGGAACACCATCCCCTGCTAAGTCGCCTCTGAACTTTGCTCCGAAGAGTAAGACCAGGTTTCACGTTATATCCAGAATGTAGAGCCGTGCCCACACTTACCACTTCCAATCCAGCATTAACCTTTGGTTAGCTTTTCTAAGATCGATAGTGATGTACTAACTATTTTGGCCGACCCATGACTTTGAGTCTCGCTTATTTATTCTATGATCCTCACGTAAAAACTAAAAAATACCAAAAAGAAAGCATAAGGATAGACTGGACTGCTGGCCCTTGGCACGATAAGGGCGGTGAAGGACATGTGAGAGGTTTATTTCCGCTCTCCATTAT